GTTCTGCAACGGAGACCCCCCCCCCCTTGAGGGGTCTCGTGCCTGCGTGTAGAGGACGCGCAGCGAGTTCTGGTGGTCGGCCGGCGCGGCGGGCGCCTTGTGCTTGAATGCGAGCACCTGCAGGCGGACAGGGATGTGTGGGGTGGGTACGGGGTGGGGTGGGGTGGGGGTGGGGAGGGCGGCGAGAGTGGGCGCCTTGTTGGTCGCACCGCCCGCAAAGAGGTTGGCAGCGAGCGCCTTCTTGTACTCCTCCTGAAGGGGGGGTAGGGGGTGAGGAGGGGCGAGGGAGAGGGAAGGGCGTGGATGTGCGTTTGAATGTAGGGAGCGGCGCAAGCGGCCGCGCCTTTGCAGGCGACGCGTTTACGGTGGCATTCTCCTCTTCGCGCGCGCGCGTGAGCTCAAAGTGGGAGACGTCCATGTCCATGGCTGAGCGCTGAGGAATGAAGCGGTCGCCGTGCGGCCGCGACACGGGCGTGCGGCCGCGCCTCGTCGCCTCCTCGCCTGGTGCGCTCGACGGCAGCCGAGCTGCCGCGCTGCGCTTTTGCGGGGTGCCCTGCATCGCGTTCATGCACTCTTCGAACTGCGTGGCGTTCATGTTTGTTTCGTGTAGTAATCCTGCGGCGGAGCAGCGGTGGCGAGGTGGCGTCGAGCGCGGGCGCCGGAGCGCGTTAGGGGTGCGTTGCGTTGGCGCGCGTGCGAGGGGCGCGCGGGCCGGCAATGGCGTGCGAAGCGCTCCGGGCAGGCCGTCCGTATTCGCTTTTGTTTCTTTTTCAGTGGACTAGTGGGGGACGCGGCGGACCCGCCTCTGTTGTTCGCGGGCAGTGAGAGACGCAGGATCTGCACGCCAAAGTGGGGCCACTCCGCATTTTCATTTTGGTTTTGGGTTGTCGGAGATCATCCATCAGCACTCATAAGTCAGTCAAAGCAGTCGTGGCGCGTGAGCAGAGTCGCTGCATGCAACGGCGCCGCCACACGCTCCGGACGACCGACACACCGACACACCACGCACAATGGTAGGCCATCGCGCACGATCGGCCATCGCACCCACCGCAAACACCTCGCCGCACAGATGGGGGGAGGCATAATCCCACACACACCGGAGCAGCGCAGACACCTTACACGTCAGCGCTCGCTCGATGTGGCCGGCGCTCTCCCCTCTCCTATCGCCTTTTCAACGGCGGCGTGCGGCCACGCGCCGCGCCGAGCCGGTCTCGGCGGGAGACCTCGGAGCCGCACGCGATGCGGGCATGCGCGATGGCTCCGTTGGCTCCGTGCCTAAGGCAGATAGATTAGGGTGTGAGCTGCGGCAGCCACCGTTTCTGTACCTCGATCACGTGCAGGCCGTCGGAGGCCGCGCTGGATGGCCCAGGGCCGGCGGCGGTGAAGGCGTCCGTCGATGAAGGGATGTCGTCGAGGGAGCCATCGTCCTACGCGGCTGGTGCACCGGTCCAGTTGTCGGAGTTCGAGATCGCCGTCGACTTGGAGAGTTCGGCCCGTTGACGAACTCACGGAATGTGAGCGACTTGGTGCACGCTGATAGTCGAGCATCATGGCTCGCACCTCATCCTGAGCGCAAGGAACTCGCCCAGGGGCCAGCTGTTGGCGTCGCCGTTTTGATCGAGCTGCATCCACTGCATGGTTTCGTAGTCAAGCGTAAACGCCCAGGAGTTGGTGCCTGGGTGACTTGCTGATGAGAGCGCCTTCCAGGCGAGTAGTCGTGCCCCTCACCTAAGGTCATACGGCGGCGTCAGAGGGGGGGGAGGGGCGCGAAGCGTGAACATGGAGGCAAGCAGGTGGTGGCTGCACCTGGCCAAAGCCGGCGACCAAAGTTGTCGTCGTAGGTTGTGCGGGTATCGCTGAGCGTGAGAGGGACTGGATCGGCAGCAGCGCGGGCGGCAGCGGCCGGAGAGGCCGGAGAGCCGTCCGACGGAGGCCGGTCGTGCATCGGCGCGTCGGCCGTAGGGGCCGGGGGGGCGGCGGCATCCATCGCTGCGGGTCGCTGCGGGCCGACGATTGTGGACTGATCGATCGTGGCGGGCGGTGTTCAGCTGGGACGTTCTACGTTAAAAGAGCGTCGGCGCCGACACGAGAGACTTATAAGGGTAGAAGTTGCTGTCACTTGTAGTGAGCGTCGGGCTGGTGGTTCGACACCGAGTTTGAAAGATCTGTTTCTCTACGTCTCTCTTCACAGGAAAATCCTGTGAAGAAAAGCGGAGAAAAAACAGAAACCTTTTCTGCCTCGGCCTTAGCCGTCGGTACTCTGATATCCGAGCTCCTACCTACCTTGCTGATACCGCGTAGGTGTCCAGTCCGAGCCTGGCTGTTCTTCACCTTCCTACCTAACCTAACCTAACCGAGACATTTGAGATTTTTAGAAGCCAACAAGAAATCTGGCACCAACAGTGATTTGGGCTCGGCAGCTTGTCGACTACCAGCCGAAGCCGGAGTCGGAACCGTGGCCGAGATGGTCGTCGAGGGTGTGGAATATGTCATTCGCCTCGCTAGTGGAGTCGGTGCCGCATGAGCCGTGGTCGGAGTGGAGGAGTCGTCGGAGGAGCGGTCGGAGAACTCGCGCTTGTCGCGCCTGACTGATGCGCTCTGCGAGGGGCCCGGGGTCGTGGTCGTCGTGCTCGAGCGTCGGGAAGACAGCGCGCCGTGCGACCTTCTCGGCCGTGCTGCCGTCCCAGTATAAGGTGTACCAGTCGCCGCGAGGATAGAACCAAGGGTTGACCATGAAAACCAACAAGAAATCACGACTCTCACAGTGATTTGGGCTCGGCAGCTTGTCAGCCCTCAGCCGAAGCTGGGGCCGGTCCCGTAGCCGAGAGAGCCCGCGCCGATGAGTTCGACGCGGTCGGGGGGCCTTGCGGAGAACACTTCCCCGGTGCCCCGTTGTGACACGTCCGACCATGTCGCTATCCCCTGCTTGGCTAGGTTGCGTGCGAAGTCGCATGCGAGGTCTCTGTTATTCCAGCCGTGACGCCTTGTCTCGAAGAGGAGCGGGCCCGACGCTCTCTTTCGCCTCTCTGTCGTTCTCCACGCCTCGGGTCTAAGCGGTCCCTTCTTGCTCTCTTCCCACCCCGCTGTCGTGACCGTCTCCACCCCACACCTCCATTTTGCCTTTAGATATGCTTCGATCATTAGTTCGTCCGAGAGCTCCCTTTCCCAGTCCCAGCTCGGCTTCCACTCCAGCGGGTTGTCACTTCGGCATCCCAGCCTCCTCAAAGTGTGCGCTAGGCTGCTCTCCACGGCCACCCTCGCTGGTTCCCCTTCCACCGCGCTGAGGGCCCGGTCCACTTGATCGATCAGCGCCGCCGCTGCGTACGTGTACGCGTGTTCCATTCCCATCCCTCCTCTCTCCTTCACATCGTATATTTGTAGTCGTGGGATTCCTACCGAGTACCCTTTTGCGTTTAGGGCGCTCGCCCTCACTTGTTCAATGCTCTGGCAGTCTTCCCATGTGATGACCGTGGACCGGCCGTAGTATTAGCCGATAATGCCGCTCAGTGCTAGCGCCATGTTGCGTCGGATCTGCTCTCCTGTCAAGTGCGGCAGGTTGCCTATGATCCAGATTACTCTCTTGCAGTCCGCTACGCACCGCTCCCTCATTTCCGTCTGGCCCTCGCCGTTTGCCCACCCGGTCCTTAGCTCCGTTCCGAGGTATTTGTATCTCTCGTCTCCCTTCAGCTGTGGTATCATTTCGGCACCCTCATTTCGTAGCCCTCGACATCCCGCTCTTCGTTGTTCTCCCAGTACGTCGCTGACCACGCCGATTTCTTCTTCTTTTTGACCTGGAGGCTGTTGCCACAGATCTTTGTCACTAAGCAGGCGCACTCTAGCGCTAGCTGCATCGTGGCTATGTCGTTGCTGAGGAACAGGCCGTCGTCGGCGTACACTAGCTGCGGCACGCTCTCACCCGCCGCTGTGAAATCAAATCCTCTACACAGCTTACTGACTGTTCGCTGCATCACGGCCAGCATGAGCTTGCTGCGTGCGGGCGAAAGGAGGCACCCTTGGCCGAGGCCTTGCTCGATGGGAAATCGGTCGCTCAGTCCATAGCCCGTCTCGTATCTACCTTGGAGGGAGGGTAGCTCCTCCCCAAGTCCTTCCCCTTTACCTGTGCGTCTCCCGGGACGCTCTTTCCGAATCGTGTCGGTCCTTCGAACACGCCGTACGCCACCCTAGGGTTCGGCACGTACTTTCCATCCTCCGCCATTTTGTCTTCATGGTCCTTTCCTCCGTCCGTCGCCGCAAAGTGTGTGAACTGGTGTGAGACGTGCAGCGCGAGACATGTCTGCGCTACTTTCACGTTCAGGGCTCGTCCCTTCCCCGACCGCAGCGGCTCGCTGTCTTTTCCCATCTTAATTCGCTTTCCTTTGCCGTCCGTCAGCTCTCCCCCCGCCTCAAATTCATCGTATCGGAGCAAGAAGCGCGTTAGGGGGTCCTCCTGTAGCTCCCCTACTCTGATCGCGCTCGCCCCGTATCCGTGCCCCACAAACAGCTCGTAGCCTTCTTTCTGCCAGTTTATGTGTCTCTGGGGCGCCCCCTCTGGGAACAACGTCTCATCCGCCCCGAGGCTCCCCTCCTGTCGCTCCCTCTCCTGTCTCTCCATCATCTTTCTCACCGCGTCCTTCGTGATCTTATTTTGCTTGGGTATCTCCTCCTCCCATGTCGCGTTCGTCTCGAGGCCCGGGGTCCCCTCTAGCTTTATCACTCGATTGTCCCCTTCCTCTCTCGACCCCAGGTGCGTGCCGCTGTCTTGCGCCGGTTTCTTCCCTCCGAGGTAGAGCGTCCTGGCCTTCCCCTCCAGCCTCCACTCGGATGTCCGTCCTGGTTCGCCCTTCTTCGAACGTGTGTTCTGTCATGTTGGGTCCGCTCGTACGTTGAATTCTGTATGTTCTTCTTCTAGTCTGTGCGAGAGATCTTTGTTGAATTCTTCTGGTGCACTTGGAGCACTTGGAGTGCGGTCATTAACCTCACGCCCAGGACCGGGGAGCTGAGAAGCGCACCCAGTTGGCCGGACGCTAAAAAAGAAAGAAAGAAAACAGACAACCCAAGGGAGGGATGGGAGCGCTCGGCATCGGGTTGGGCTTGTAAAATTCTTCTCGTCGCAACCACTTTTCGCTCTCGGGCCGCGGAAGAGCCAGGCTGTCTCCAGTTGCAGCGGGAAGAGCAGACCGTCGCTGATATTGATGAGGATCGCGCTGACCGCTTTGCTGTCGCCACTCGTCGCCGCTGCTGCGGTCGTCACCAGTCCGGTTGGCGCCCGTGCGCTCGGCAGCCTGACCATCAGCGAGGCGGGGCTCGGCACACTGAATCTAGCGCTGGACAAGAAAGAGAATGACGAGGCTGCTGCCGGCGCGCTGCAGGCGTCCGTCGCCGCCGGGTGCAACTTTGTTGATACCGCGGAGGCGTACGGGTTTGGCAACAGCGAGCGGCTGACGGCTTGGGCCGCGGCTCGCGCCGGCATCAAGATTGGCTGCGGGCCCGGCGAACTGCACGTGGCTACCAAGTTTGCGCCTGTTCCATGGCGTCCCAACGCCGAGAGTGTGGTGGAGGCGTGCCGAGCCAGCGCTGAGCGGTTGGGTGTCGAGCAGATCCCTCTCTACCAGATCCATTTCCCCGACCTCATCCAGCCGCTCAAAGCGTTTGGTCTGGAGCGGCGCAAGGACGAGGAGTACTGGGAGGGGTTGGCGAGGTGCTACGAGATGGGTCTCGCTGCCAATGTGGTGCACAAGCCACCTCTCACACTCGTAGCAAGCCACACACACACACACACACACACACACACACACACACACACACACACACACACACACACACACACACACACACACACACACACACACACACACACACACACACACACACACACACACACACACAGGCACGCACACACACACACACACAGGCACGCACAGGCACGCACAGACAGGCACATACGCACAGATACACCCACGCACGCTGCCAGCTCGGCCACAGGGTGTCTGCAACTATGGGCCAACCTACGTCGCTCGCGTCCACGCCTTCCTCGCAGCGCGTGGGATCCCGCTCGCGTCCAACCAGATCAACTACAGCCTGATGTACCGCAAGTCGGTCGAGGCGACGCTGGCCAAGTGCGCCGAGCTCTCCGTGCCCGTGATCTCCTACTTTCCGCTAGCGAACGGGCTGCTGAGCGGCCGGTACGACGCCGACAACCTGCCCAAGTTTCCAAAGTCGCTCACGATGAAGAAGTACGTCGTCGGCGGAGCCGACGGCTTCCCCGATGGAGGCTACACGCCGCTGCTCCGCGAGCTGCAGCGCATCGCGGCGGCGCGCGGAAAGTCGGTGCCTCAGGTGTCCATCAACTACGTGGTCTCGAAGGGAGCAATCCCGATCCCGGGCGCGAGGAACGCGGAGATGGCGGCGGCAAACATGGGCGCGATGGGATGGCGACTAAGCGAGGCGGAGGTGGGCGCGCTGGAGGCGGCAGCGGATGCGATCGGGTTCGAGTTCTCCTCGGGCGGCTTCAGGCTGGAATGAGTTGAATTTGATAGGACGGTTGTCCGAACTAAGAAGGGCGAAGGGGAGAAAATCTCTCTCCGAAGGGGCTGTGGGCCCGAGAGCGATATGCCATGTCTGGCCTTGCTTGTTTCCTAACATCGAAGGCTAGCTCAAAAGAAATTTGAAACGCTTGAGCCTCGTTTAATAAAACCGGCGCGCCACGACGCGACCGAGGGTATCAGAGGACGCGAAGCCGATGCGCGTGCTACGAGGTGCACTCTTGCGCGCCGTATCTAGCAATGTCGTCGCCGTTCGTGCTCTCGCCTGCAAAGGCAGCGCCGTCCGTGCTCTCTCTGGCAAAGGCAGCGCCGTGTGGAACGAGGAGTGGAGGCGGCTCGGCCTCGGCGCAGTGCAGGAAGCGTCGGCACCTGCTCTCAATCGGCTCATGTTTGTCCAGACCGGCTTCGGCTGTGACCAGCACGGCGATCGCAAGGGCGCAGGCGCGACCTCTGCAGCAGTGCGGGCGTGCCGCAACGCGATAGAGTTCAACTCGATCCCGGGTATGGTCGATCACGTCCCGGGAGGGCGCAAAAACATGCTGATTCACGTCAAGTTGGGGATCCCGGAGGGCTATTCGGTTGACCACGACGAGATACGAGCAACTTTCCCGTATGGCAGACTGCTGCCCGTGGAAGTGATCCACGGTGGTCTTACCTACGGTTGCGGCAGGTCGCGACGCACCCTCGTCAGGCCTAAACCGCGTCCATCTCAGGTTGTGCTCGTGCCTCGTAGGGTTGTCACCGAGTTGGGAGACGAAGACGACACGGCAATCGTTGTCGTGGCCGCCGTGTCGATCGGTGCGCGCGCTCGCTAGCCAACGGACACTTCACACAGGTGCGCGCGCGCCTCACCTCTCTCTGCGCGTCAGGTTACAACGACCCGAACGATGCGTCCGAGGGCCACAAAACATACGATACAAGGGACGGTCATTAGGGACTTTGTCGGTCTGAGACACTGTAGAGTAAGGGCCTCGGTCTGCACACGGACGCACGGGGGCTGTCCTGCGGCTCCCCTCCGTCCACCATGCTCTTGAGAGCATGTTGTTTTCTTTTTTCGCACGACACTGGGCACGGGACTCGAGAGTGAGTGAGTGAGTATTCTTGATATATACGAAACCACGGACGACACACACCACCTCACCAGTCGACCTCGCATCGGTTGCCTCCATGAACGGCGGAGCTATTCTCGCGTCCACACCACACCTGGCTCCAACATGGACACGCCCATAGCTGGGGACACTACTAGGTCACGCATGGCATCAGCAGCTGAGCCCTGGTGTCGAGGTGTCGAGGCCCGGTGGCGCGGAGGGTGTCGAGCTGCTGTCGAGGGGTAGAGGTGTCGAGCACGGTGAGGCCTGTCGAGGCCTGTCGCTCGAGGCCTGTCGAGGCCTGTCGAGGCCTGTCGAGGCCTGTCGAGGCCTGTCGAGGCTTGTCGAGGCTGGTACCACGCTTGCCAGTGTCGAGGGGTGTCGAGGGGTGTCGAGGGGTGTCGAGGGGTGTCGAGGTGTGTCGAGGGGTGGTGGGTGTATCAACAAAACTTGGGCAGCAGTTGCAAAGCTGTTTCATCCCTTAGTTGCAGCCTCTCAGTTGCACCCTGTTGATGTAGCACAACCTGAGCACAACCAGTATACTCTCTGTGGACATTTGAGGACATCAAGTGCCGGGAGTCATTGCCACTGTGCACAAAGGTGCTGTGCAGGCGCAGCACCGCAGCAGCGTCGCCGCTGCAGCGTCGTCGCCCCTGCAGCGCCACCGGCGCACAAAGCGCAACTGACCACAGCGCTCCTTTCACAAGGCTGGTGCCATGAGTCAGTGGACATTGCCACTGCACAAGGTGCTGTCCAGCAGCTAAGGGCTACAGTACCCCATCGCAGCAGCGTCGCCGCCGCTGCAGCGTCGCCGTTGCAGCGTCGCCAGTGCACAAAGCGCAATGGACCACAGGTCTGCACTCATGGCACAAGCTCACTGGCGTGAGGATTCATTGCCACTGTACAAGGATCAAGGTGCTGTGCAGCACCTGAGGGCTGCCTGAGTACTGCCATGTTTGCTACATCAACAGGGGTGCAACTGAGCCGCAACTTGACCTAGAACTTTTGAGAGGCTGCAACTCAGGGATGAAAGTACTGCCAGGCAAGTATTGCTGCTGCAACCCTGATTTCTAACTCTGTGACTCCAAATGGGTCTACGTCTCTGCTGGTGTTAGATCATCAGAGGTGTCGAGGTGGTGTCGAGCGGTGTCGAGCGGTGTCGAGCGGTGTCGAGCGGTGTCGAGCGGTGTCGGGGTGTCGAGTTTGGCACCTTGACACCAGCGAGCGTGGTACCAGCCTAGATGGTGTCGAGGGGTGTCGAGGGGTGTCGAGGGGTGTGTCGAGTTGGTCGAGTTGGCATGGGGTGTCGAGGTGTCGAGTTGGTGTCGAGGTTGGTGTCGAGGTGTGTCGAGGCCAGGGCTCAGATCAGAAGTTTTATCTCTGGGCCCCGAAAGGCTCAAACAACTAACAAAATCTCTCAAAGGCATCTCTAGCAGCGTCGTTCCCTCCTGGGCGCAAGCGCCTCACGTCTCGACAGAGCACAAGCCCTTGGCGTGCGACGAGACGAGCTTTTCGACACACACACGCCTAAGGGAATCCTGCCGGGCTTAAAATTCATTTTTCGCACAAGCCGCGCATCTCAGTCGTTCTTCACACGGCCATCGCAGAGCAGATTGTGAATGAGCTTGCCTGCGGCGAGGGCGGTCGAATGCACGGAGCTAAGTGCCTCGCCGTCCTCGCGGGGGTCGCTTAGGCGGCTCCCGTGGTGTACCTGTGTTAGTGCCAGTGCGCGCCAGTAAAGAAAGAAAGAAAACAGACAACCCAAGGGAGGGATGGGAGGACGGCACGCCGCTAGGGGCGCGGATTTTTTGGAGCACTTGGAGTGCAGTCATTAGCCTCACATCCAGGGCCGGGGAGCTCAGAAGCGCACCCAGCGGGCCGGATGATCGGGATCGGGTTGCGGGCAAGAAAGCCCTAGCCCCGGGGGTGCGCGTTCGCAGGGCAAGGGCCTTAAAGTAAACACGGGTCTCCGAGGGTTAGCCCCGCGTACCGGGTTTCCCCTTAACTGCAGGACGCCCCCTCTACTCGGAGCTAATGAACACCATACTGCACGCCCCACACCACCACTCTACACTCACTTGCGTCGGCGTTTGAGTAGACCCCCCCGCCTGAGGGCTCACCCCTCGCCTTCCCAGGGTCTCAACCCTCCTTGATTCGCTCTCTTGCTCGTCTCCCGAGCGTTATGCGACGACCGGTCTGGTCGTTTCCCTCGTTGTTGGTGTCGCTTCCTCCGCTGCCGCCCTTCATCTCCGCCAGCTTCTCCCGGCTCCACCGCTTCCGAGGGCGTCGACGACCCGGTCGAGGTCTCCCCGGGCGAGGGTTTGTCGGCGGATACACGCCGGCCAAGAGCGGGAGCGCCAGAGAGAAGACAAAAGGCAACATGTAGCAAAGCTCTCTCTAACGCCGCGGTCAAAAGAGACCGTGAAGGTCGGGGTTCGTTCCACCTCACGTCGGCTCCATGTCGGCGGAAACACGCCGGCCAAGAGCGGGAGCGCCAGAGAGAAGACAAAAGGCAACATGTAGCAAAGCTCTCTCTAACGCCGCGGTCAAAAGAGACCGCGGACCTTGAATTTCGGCGGCGCCGAAATTCACACAAGACTGTGAACACACCCACAGGACGCCGAGTACAAGACAATAGGAAGGGAGTGTACTCAGGCAGTCAGGGACGGGTGGATTCAAGAACATACTAAGAGCACCTAAAGGAGCAAGGCATAGCTGTGAAGTGGTCTCTCCACTGAGAGGGTTTTTTATGTTTTTTTCGCACATCCGCTGACTTTCAGGCATGGCGACCATCCGCTGACTTTCAGGCATGGGGTACGAGAGCCTCAGCATCGGCATCAATGATGCCGTCGCCGCCTCATTCGCAGTACTCAGCGTTGCAGTGTTTATATGTCTTCCCATAGCTGCGTGGGGATGGCTCGTCTACCCGCTCTGGCGGAGCGGCGGCTTACACGGCTGGATCACGCGCGGCGGCGGCGGGCGGATGCACAGCACGGAGACGGGCGCTCGGCGCACCCCGCGGCCCGCCCTCGTTACCTTTCGCGACATTCACTACTCCGTAAAGCTGTCCGGCCGGGGCCGGCCGGAGTTGCACATACTGAAGGGCGTGAGTGGTGTCCTGCTGCCGGGGACGTTGACTGCTATTATGGGCCCTAGTGGCTGCGGCAAGTCCACCCTCCTCGACATCCTCGCCGACACCAAGCGAGTTGGCGTCGTCGAGGGGGATGTACGACTGAACGGCGAGGCGCGCGGCACGGACTTTCGGTCGACGTGCGCGTACGTGATGCAGGAGGACTGCTGCCACTCGACGCTCACCGTACACGAGACGCTCTGGTTCGTGTGCGCCCTGAGGCTCGGGCCCGACGTCGGGCGCCAGGAGCGACACACACTGCTCACCCACGGATCGGATCTCTTGCACTTGATGCCGGGGCCTCCTTTCCCTGGACGTGGGGTCGCACCTTACCTTAGGAGCGGCTCGAGCTCATCACCCGGACGATGGTCGACCTCGACCTCGCGCACGTGGCAGACACGCGCATCGGCGACGACGTGTCCGGCGGCCTGTCTGGCGGCCAGCGCCGCCGCGTCACTATCGCGATCGAGATCCTCTCCGGGCCTGCCCTGGTGCTGCTCGACGAGCCGACCTCCGGACTGGACGCGTACGGAGCGCAGCAGGCGGTGGCCACACCGCCTGCGGTGGCCACACGCACACAAGACCCACGACGTCTCTCCCCCGCTGCGTCTCCCCCGCCTCCTCAATGCCGTGGGCTCAATGCCGTGGGTCTGCTTCCCCTCCTCCGGAAGAGGTTCAGCGGGCGGAGTGGACCACACGACACGCGGTGGAGAGGTTTTGCCCCTTTGCATGTTAGGTGGTCGCGGCGCTACGCCGCTTCGCGGACCGCGGCCGCACCCTCGCCTGTACCATCCACCAGCCGCGCGCCGAGACCTTCGCGCTCTTCCACCAGCTGCTCCTGATCAAGGCGGGCGAAACCATGTATTGCGGGCCGGTGGCGCAGGCGCATATGGACCCGCGAGATATAGACCCGAGATATAGGCCCGAGACATACAACCGAGTACAACCGAGACGTGATCACACAAGGGGGCCAACCTCTTGGCCTAGGTGCCCGACTTTCTTCGCGGCTGCGGCGTGGCGTGCCCGCCGTCGGTCAACCTCGCCGATGTGGTGGTCGACCTCACGCACACCAAGGAGGCGGACGCCGACGCCGACGGCGCCGAGCAGAGTGTCGACCTCGTAGCCCGCTTCGCCGCGTCGGCCCTCCGGCCTAGATGCGTCCACTGTGTCCACGCCGTCACGCGGCGCTCCAATGAAAGACGCCGCAAGACACCATCTTCCCGCCCCCACTCTGGCGTGCTCACAACAAACACAGGCCCTCCGCCGTAAGATCGAGGACGAGATTGACTCAGTCGAGCTCGGGTGCCACCCGGACCTCGCCGACGCGGCGGCGTCGCTCGAGGCTCCAAAGGAGCAGGAGGGCGCTCGCGTCGGCTGCTGCGGCAGCAGCGGCGGCTACCCCACCCCGCTGATGCACCAGGTCGTCATAGTTGCTTCATACATCCGTACACACTCACTCGAGTGACACGCGGTTCACAATGCCAGCAACATGCCGCTGTGTGCACCCGGCAGGTCGGCGTCCTGGTGCGGAGGCAGTGGACGCTCGACACGCGCAATTTCGGGTACCAGTTCACCTGGGTCCTCAACGGTTTTGTGCTTGCGCTCAACGCCTCAACCTACCTGCTGGTCGAGCAGCCGCCGCTCAGTGCGCAACCAGCGTCCGTGTACCGCGACGACATGGGCTGCGACCCCATCGAACCGAGCGGGCGACAGGGGTGCGTCTGCCACGTGCCGATGGACGAAGCCGCCTCGAACGGCCAGTACAACGTGGGCGCCGACGCGACCGAGTGCGGCCGGGCGATCCTCGCCAGCGCGAACGCCGTCTTTGCGTTCCGAGGCTTCCTCTTCCTCGTCATCAACGCCCTGTTCGTCAACGAGGCCGTGTTTGTGCCGGCCGTCATCGCCGACAAGCGCTTCTTCGCGCGCGAGCACGGCGCTCGCGCTCACTCCTTCCTCATATCTCCCCGCATCTCCCCATATCTCCCCATATCTCCCCATATCTCCCCATATCTCCCCTCGCAGGAGCGCGCGCCTACTCCGTCCTCGCGTGGCACCTCGCCTGGCTCGTCAAGCTCGGGCTCACCGCGGCCCTCAAGGCGCTCTTCTACACGCCCTGCTTCTACTTCATCGGCCAGCTGCGCCCCGCCTGGTCCGCCTACTTGGCCGCCGCCCTGGTCACCGGCGGGATGGGCCTCGCCGGCTCAGCGGTCGAGAGTACCAGAGATTACCCGAGATTACCCCGAGACCCGAGCTTGGTCCTGAGTCGGAGAGTGCTGATCACCACGCCCCCTCCCCTCTCTCTCGGCTCCGCCTTGCTAATGAGTGATCCCCCTCGCACACGTACTCATGCTAGGTCGCCATGCTCCTCACCACGCTCGTCCCCGGGCTCGGCGCCGCCACCACCGCGTTCGGCTGCGCGGTGCTGCTCTACCAGAACGTCTGCGGCTTCTTCCTTCCAATCGCCGCCATCCCGCCCTACCTGACGTGGCTCACCTGGACGTCCGTCTTCACGTACGGCTACTACGCAATCGTCACCTCGCAGCAGATGTTCGGCTCCATTGAACTCCCAGGCGACACGCCGGCGAGAACCTGATTGATTATTCGGTTATCATTGTGCAGTGGTCGATCTCCAGGAGATTCCGACGAGAGCATCGAGGACCGACTCGTCTTCGCCTTTTGCTTCGTCCTCTACGTATGGTGTTTCCTCTTACGGCACCCAGAGCGATGAGATCGATGAAGTGCAAAGGAATTAATCATTGGTTCCTTATATAGGTGTCTTCTCTTCCACGGTGCCGCCTACGCCATCACGCGCGCCTACAGCTCCCACCACGCAGCATACCTCGGCCCAGACGGACCACGCAGCACGTTGACACGCCGCAAGGCTGCTGCCATCCTTGCCGCCGACGGCGCCTCCGCCTCCGGCACCACCACCAGCGCCGAGGGCGCCGCCGCCGAGGGCACCGCCACCAGCGCCGAGGGCGCCACCGCCGCCGCATCGATGCCGTCGCGGTGGAGCAAGATACGCGAGGTCGTCTTGCGCGCCGACGGGCCCCGTCTCTCGACGGTGGCGGGGAGCTCGCTGTCGCTTGGCAGGACCCTGCAGCGGGTGCGGTCGCAGCTGCTGACGATGCGCGACGACGCGCGCGAGCAGCTGGTTATGAGGCATGACAGCGCAGCCCGCGCCGTCGCCACGCCGCGCATGGCCACGACGACCCCCTCCTCCACCCTCGCGGCGCGCCTGAGCGTCATCCCGCACGGCAGCGGGGCTTGAGCTGAGCCGGACCGCACCTTCACGAACACACGCAGTGTGCTGTGGACGCGCGTCCCCTAGGGGCCCGGACGCAGTGTCCCAGCAAAGTATCTGTTCACTTTACTGTTTCACGGTTCGCGTCTCGAGGTTTTGTGGGGACCGCGCGGCTGCCCCTAGCTCAGGCGCGCCTCGCACACCTCAATATGTGTGTGAAGTCACAGTGCGGGGCTCCTCGTGCTCTCGTCTTGTCTATGTCTTGGTAGAGTCGAGGTAAGGTAAGGCGGTATGGTAAACGTCTCGCCACACCAGGTGAGCTGGTAAGGGGGGGCAACCCTCGTGACTCCCCACGTCTAAAAAAAAGACAGGAAAATCGGCAGAATCCAGTACAGTACAGTAAATAAAGTGCCGTCTGCCAACGAAGGCCCACAGTGCGTGGGTGAGCCCTGAGCGGTTTGTGTGAGGGGGGGGGTCACGTCACTGCGCCTCCGCCGGCTCCCCCCGTTGCGTCTTCCTCGTTCGTGTCCTTGTCAATCCATCCTCGAAGCTCTCCAATGTAGCTAGCGTCCGCTGCGAATGCCTCGAAGTAAACAGCAGGCGCTGCCTGCAGGTGCGAGCAGCTCAAAGCTGCATGAGGTGCGAGCAGCTGGCCAGCAGCCGCTTGAAGTCCTTTTGTAGCTTGGACATCTCATGACTATCAAACTGCCCGTGCCTGTGCTCCATCGCGGCGTGCTTTGTCTCCGTCAGCAGCGTCTCAATCTCCGCGAGCACGCTCTCGAGGCCATCCTCCTTGGCCTCGAGGCGAAGCTTCTTCTCGATCCCCACCGCGATCCCGTTCACCACCCCAACAACAGCCATCGTCTCTTGGCTGATGTGCAGGGCGACAGCCGCAGCAATGAGGGAAGAGGTGCTCAGCCTGCAGATCCAGCGGGGCGACGATCATGGGTGACGTGTGACGAGGCGATGTGATCGAGCCAGAGATGTGAGATCTGCTGGCTAGAGATGCTGCTAGAGGGTTCATCCCGCCATCTAGGCCACAAGCTGGAGCAGGAGAAGAAGCTTGTTTGTTACGCCCAATATCTTTTTCACCGCCGACGCAGCCCTTTCCACGCGCAGGAGCTGGGTCTCAATGTCCTCGAGAATCAGGTCGATGTGCGAGCTGCTCCCGGCGCCTTCCAGGGCCATTGGTAGCAGGGGCTCGGCGGCAGAAGACATCGAAGAGCACTTGCCGAATGGCGTGGTATGCGGGCCCCAGTCAGTACGAGCCGACGCCTAGTTGCGCAGTTGGGCGCAACAACACACACAACACAAAGCTCAACTATCACGGACGACCAAAAAAAAATAATGAGTCGTCTGGACACAAGAATTTTACAACAAACACAAGAACCAACCACAGAGGAACTTCTCCCGCCCGGGGAAACAAAGAAAAAGCCGGGTCCCTAACAGAAGCCTCGTTTCAAGTATAGCAGAGAAATGGACAGTAGGCGCATCACCGCCTGACTGCTGACGGCCCCGGGTCCTTGCCAGCTCTGCGACCAGCGTCGGCTCAGTATTCCGAATCGCACCGCAAGGCGACAACTAACTCCGGCCGTCAAGTCGACCCACTCGTTGGTGTTGTACACGTTGACGTCCGCGATGTTCTTGGCCTCGGTGTTGCAGTCTTTGCAAGTAGGAATAATCCACATGCCGCTGTGACCTTTGATCTGCACGTGCGCGCCGACGTGGCCATCTTCGAGGTAGTTCCCGCACGAGCGCTGCGGGCACTGAGTCAGTGAAGCGTTGTAGCTCATGATCGCCCCGCGCTGGCGCTCGTCGAGACCAGTCGTGCCGACCGCGTGCTTGAAGTACGTGCCTCGCGGGACCCGAACAGCTTTCATCACCTGCTAAGTGAGGTCTGTTGTTCATGGCTTCGGCGCGCGGCGAAGAGCGTGGTGTGTGATCACGCGGGGTGGAGAGTGCGGTGTGTGAGCGCGCGGGGCGGAGATTGCGGGTGAGGGACGGCGTTGGATAGCGGGGTGGTGGAGAGGTGGGCGGTGGAGAGCGGGCGATGGAGAGGTGGGCGGTGAAGAGCGGGTGGTTAGTGAGGCGGGGAGGGGCGCAGCCGCGCGTGTTGTGCTGGTGGTGGCGCGGAGGCGCTGGCGAGGGCGGCGCCGTGGGGCTGAGCGGCTCTGGTGCAGCAAGGGCTTCCGGCGCGCGGTGGAGAGCGCGCGGTGGAGAGCGCGTGCACGTGGGGCGGCGAGTCGAGCGTAGGAGGGTGAGCGCGAAAGGGCAACGGCGCACAGAAGCGGAAGACTCGACCGGAGGACGAAGACACGCGGAGCGCTTGCTTTTGTTGGAAAAGAATTCCCGCACGATCTCAAAGTACGACAAGGGCGTGGACTCCCTTGGGTTGTCCGTTTTCTTTCTTTCTTTAAGGGCGTGGACTGGCGCACACCGGAAGAGAAACAGTTTGGAAGTCACATTTTGACAGTGCGGCCGACAGAACAGAAAGGTTCTGAAGACGGTGGTGGCGCCAAAGGCCTCGCTGCTCTGTTCACGGAGTGCGAGCCGCCTTGCCGAAGAAGAAAAAATAACACCTAGCGCCCGTGACATCCAGCACTTGAGACGCTTTGAGCTCCTGTCAAGGACGCAATAGTCGGAAGCCGAAGCTCATGAGCAGCTTCGTTGAGTCGCTCGATGCGAGGCTCGCACAGGAGCAGCACGAGTCGCTCGACGCGACTCTCCTGCTCGCACGGGAGCAATGCGATTCGCTCGACCCGGATGCGGTCTCGTATGTCGACGCTCTCCTGCTCGCGCAGCAGCAACGCTCCTCGCTTCCGCCGCTGCTCGACAATTGCTCTTCGCTTCCGCCGCTGCTCGACCAAGCGTCAGCCAAATGGCTTCACCACCGCGAGTCCTTTGCTCCCGCGCTAAGCGACATCAGCGAGCAGAAGTGCAAGCGTTGGGCCTTGGAGGTCGAGCGACAGGAGGTGTCGCTCCGCGCCTTGATCACCGCTGCTTTGAGTGCCGTGCTGTGTCGCTCACCCCGCGTCGTCTCCAGGTGAAGCGGCTGCGGTGGAGCATCGATGCGTTCGGCACGGGCTTCGGCCTGGCCGAGGCCTCGACCCTCACGATGCTGATGGACTGCGGCCTCACCAACGGACTCTCGCACATCCGGCTGGGAGGCTGCTACCTCGGCGATGATGGCCTGCGCCCGATCGTCGCCTCGCTCGCCCGCGTCCCGCGCCTCCGCACCCTCGGCCTCGCGCACAACGGCCTCGGCGACTGTTCCATCCAGGCCCTGGCGGAAGCGCTCTCGGCGAGCCCCGGCCGGGTGCTGCCCGCTCTGCAGCGTCTCTGGCTCTTTGGGAACGACATCTCCGACGAGGGCGTGATCTCCCTCACCAAGCTATTTGAGGCCGGCGAGCTGCCCCGCCTCGCCAAGCTCGGCCTGGGCGCCAACTGCATCGGTGACGCGGGCGTGCAGGTCTGAAACGCTGCGTTTCGCTCCCTGTACTCACAGACTGTACTCAGAGCCTCACCCCGCCACTCCCTTTGCTCCCGCAGGCCCTCGCCCGCTGCGGCCGCACCGCCCTCGGCGCTGTGGACACGCTCGGCCTGCGCGAGAACCCGCGCATCAGCACCGCCGGCGTGGACGCGATGGCCGCGGCCCTGGAGAGCGGCGCCTTTGCGAGCCTCAAGACGCTCTGGCTCCCCGCGGCGCACGAGTGGCACGGCGGCATCGCGGCCGCCTGCCGAGAGCGCGAGGTCACCCTCATCTGTGCCTGAGATGAGAGCGAGGCGCGGGGGCGTCGCTCGGCTCCGCCCCGAGAGCCGAGTTTCGCCAGCAGGCCCCCGGTGTAGGCGTCGAGATGGCGAGGAGGGGCAACATGTTCTTGTGTAGCAGATTTTGTACTATACGTAGCCGGCAGCATGTGCCACTGTGAAGGGTCGCTGCATGGGGGGCCGTACAGCTGAATCCTAAATCCATATTTGTTTTTGTGTCCATATCATGGACCACTGCGTATCTTTGCACTTTGGTTCTTGGGGCACTTGGAGTGCATTTGGCAACCTCACATCCAGGAAGGGGAGCTAAGAAGCGCACCCAGCGGGCCATGCTCGGTATCGGGTTGCGGGCAGCGCCGGGTTTTTTTCTCCTTTTTCGAGACGGGCAGACGTCCTAGGGTACTAGTATGCATGTGCATGCACATGTGATGCTCCCTCGCCTGCGTGAAGCAGCCGGCGCGCTGGTGACCGGCCACTGCGTGTTCACGGCCGCCGGCATCGGCGCTGCTTGCACCTCTAGACTCGACTCACCCGCCACAGCGCCAAGCGACCCTCGCTGCTCAAAGGAACGGGCGCTCGCTGCCGCGATGTACAGCGGGCGTGGCCTCGATGAGCAGGCCTGCAGCCCTCAGGTGACCTTCACCGACCCCGTGGCTCGCTGTTCAGGGCGGCGGGAGGTGAGCGAAGCCTTCCGTGCGCTAACCTTCTGTCGCCCGGAGCACGTCGAGGCGCCGCGCGCAAACTTCATCGACGACCTCACCTCCACTGTCGACCTCCACCAGCGCTACTTCTCGTGCGCACTCCTGCCGAGCGGGCTGGTCGTGCGGAGCACGCTGCTCGTGCGCCGGCGGGCGGCGGACGGGCTCGTCTGCGAGCTCGAGGAGAGGTGGAATGGCGCTCTCCTCTTCGGGTGGGTCGCTTTCCGGTGGGCGCGGAGAGTCAACGGCATGCTCAGCTCGCTACTCACGCCACTTCTGCTGCGCTGACGTCGCTGCCCACGCCTCTATTGCGTTGACGTCGGCTCCCGGAGCCGTCCGTCCCTCCTCTGCGGGCAGAGGCGACGGCTTGGAGGGCGTGCCACCGCCCCACGCGCTCGCGCGGCAGAGGTCAATCTCATTGCGACGGGCGCGGCGCTGCGGCCGTACGCCTCGTGCTACTACCCGGGCGACCAGCTCAGCTCCGTTTATTTATTTAGTCCTCGTCGACCGATTCAGCGATGCGTCCACACGCTCCTGTTTATGATTTGAATCGTTCCGCGCGAGAATTGGCTGGCTATAGAAAGGGTACACTCACATAGCAATCCCCCGCACACATGCATGAACCACACGCGGTGAACACAGAGAGAGAGGGGTCGACGACCTTTTGCCAGCGGAATGCACGGGAGCACACGGTAATATTATTAGGATATGGGTTAGGGGTGTGGGCGGTAGGCGATACTAGGGCGCAGCGCTTTATTAGGGAGGGGCGGGGGTGGGGGGAGGGGGAAGGGGGGGGGGGGGGAGTACACGGGAGAGAGGGGAGCACGCACAGAGGGCAGTCATCGGTCTCGAGCAGCGTCGGATCGGCCCTCGCGTCCGCCGCCGCGGCAAGTTGCGCTGCGGCACGCTGCCTGTGCGGATGGGGCTCTGCCGGCGAGAAACGCGGGGCGGCTACTCTTCTGCCGCTCATCTGTCGAGCTCCTCGAGCAGCTGCGGGCCGGGGGGCAGGGGAGAGGGGGTCGACGAGTTGGAAGAGGAGGCGGCGGCAAAGGGGGTGGGGGGGTGGGGGGGTGGGGGGGTGGGGGGGGTCGCACCTCTGAGAGAGGTCGCAGCTCGAGCTCTCCGAATGTGTTCTCCCCGCCGTACATCATGTACATGAATCCGTCCGGGTCGCGATGGTTCTCGTAGACGGTCGACATGAGCGCGGCGGTGGGCGGCAGCGTGTTGTTGACAAAGATGAAGATGGCCTTCTCGGGAGGGATCGAGATGCGCTTGCGGATCACGTACACGAACTGGCCGACCGTCAGGTCCATCGGGATCAGGTACTTTCGCTTGTCCACCTGTGGCGCAGCGCGCAACCAGCGCTCGGGCAGGGGGCAGCGGGGGCGCCGGCCGCGAGCGAATGGCAGCACCGGCGGGATGTCTGAGCGCGGCTCCTTCTCGCAGATGACGGGGATGCGGTCCGGGTACTTTTCGCGGATCCGCGCCGCCTCCGCCTGCCGCTTCTCAAACGGGTGGTCCTGCGGCGGGCAGGCGGGTCTTGGCGGGAGGGCAGGCGCCGCAGAGGGGCGGGGGAGACGGAAGGGGGCGGGCGAATAGAGCGCGAGCGGCGCGGTACGAGGGGTAGGCTCGTGCGCGGGGAGCAGTCCGGCCCGCTAATTTGCACCACTCAACTCCCGCCAAACCGGCGCGCGAAACCAGGGCGGGCAGGGGGGGGCTTGCGGGCCGGGCAGGCGGGGCGGGCTGCGGGGATGGGCTGCGGTCTCTGGGGGCGTGGGGCGCCTTCTTGTAGGCGAAATCTGCGCAGCGCGGCATTGCTGATGGCTGTTGACCTGCTGGACGGGAAGGGGTCCCAAGTCGCGGCCGCGACTTGAGAGGTTTTTTCTTTTTCCTTTCTCGGTGCGAACGAGCCCTTCGAAGCGCGCTTGGTACCCACGCCGACCGGCTGCTCTCGCGGCGCCGAGCTGAGGCCACGTCTCGCGCGCTGCGAGGTGTGTTTTGGCATGTGAGCGCTGGCAAGAAGCTGGTCTTCCATGTCTATCTACGGACGGCCGCGGGCGTGCGGGCGGGCCCGCCGGGCTGGGCGAAGCTCCGAGCGGGTCTTCGAGCTCGGCGCCCGCGACGAGCATGGCTCGTCGCTCGACGGGAGCCTGCCCAGTGTGCTCCCGGCACTCTGTACAGCCTCGCCAAGCTCTCTGGGAAGGCCTGCAGGGCCAGACCGGGCCGCCTCGGGCGCGATATGGCGCGCTGAATAGTATACCATGACTACGAGCTCTCGATCGGGTCGCCAGCAGCGGGCTTGCGCGGCGCGCTGCTCGACGGCAGGCTGCTCCCCACACTTTCAACAGTGTCTTTTGACTCGTTTCTCTCGCTGCAACCGTTTCCGGGGGCCGGCGCCGGCCGCCTCGCTTCGCCAGCGCTGACTACGCCTACGACACGCGCATCGGCTCGCCGCCCGCGTCGCCTGCGGCGGGCCAGCGTGGCGCGCCGCTCGTCGGGAGCGTGCTCAGCAGGCTGTGCAGCGCGAGTTTCTCACTCAGAGCGCCGCTGATGCGGCGTGGGGCCGCCGGCGTCGCTGCTGCCGCGCACGCTGCGCTGTGGGCGTCACCATCGTGTCCTCGCCGCGTCGCCGACGCCACTTGCCGCTCGCGGCTGCCCTGCCCTTCCCTGCCATCGCGCAAACAAACGCACACACACACAAACACACATTATTAATTATTAATTATTAATCATCGGGCGGCGGCGCGGCGCGGCGGTGGGCGGCGCGGCGCGGCGGCGCGACGAGGCAGCGGGCGGCGCAGGGCGGGGCGGCGCGGCGGCGGTGGGGTGATTACTTATTTGTTAATTAATTATTAATTAATAATCATCGGGCGGCGGGGCGGCGCGGCGGCGGGCGGGGCGGAGCGGGGCGGCGCGATACACTCTACATCCTCTACACCCTCCCTCGGAGGCTGCGGTCTCTGGGGCGCCTTTCTTGAACGTACTTTTAGCTCTCTCTTCTTGTAGCCCCCCGCTACCCAGTCGCATTCGTGCAACGTAGCGGGGGGCCACGACTACGTTTACGAAAACATAAGTAGTCCCGCGAGGTGTGAATTTGGCGCCCCAGTAGCCCCCTTTCCAAACCTCTGGTTTTTCGGCGCGTCCCAAGAGCGTCCAACCGTATCCAACGCTCGCAAGTCATCCTCTTCTTCCTCTCGAGGGGCTACTTCCGCTCCAAGGCTCGCCTCTTCCTCCCACCCCGACTCCAGACCGCACTCTGGCCCTATACCTCCCGCCTCTCCCGCGCCTCAGAACTGCCTCCGCGAGATCCGCTCGTCGCTCGTGATGGACAAGCCGCTGGTCCTCGTCCAAGAAGCGGACCCTGACAAGGGCGGCGGGACGCTGCAGGCGCTGCGCGCAGAGTGCCCCGAGGACCTGCAGCCTGACATCTTTGACAAGGACTGGCCGCTCACGATCTGGTATCGCATCGATGAGTTTCAGCTCATCTCGCTCAAGATCATCGCCGAGGCGCCGCGCGGGCCACAGCCAGCCGCTCCGCAGTCCTCCCTGTTTCCCACCAACCCCACTTGAACCACAGGCGTTGCTCCTCTGCTCGCCCAACTATCTCAACCAGACCTCCCTCCCGCTTTGCGTGTCGGGCGAGCCCGAGAGCCAGTCGCTCGCCTTTTCCAAAACCACGGTCTGGGCCTCGCCGGCCAACGCGGGGGCACTGTGGAGCTGGCCAACGAGATCGCCGCCGCCTTTGCCGATCTCACGATCTCCACCGCCGATGCTCGGCCGGCCACCGCGACGCACATGCTGCTCTACCTCAACGAGCACAGCTTCGTTAGCGACGAGCGGCTGGCCGACCAGGTCAAGCAGGCGCGCGAGGACAGGCTGAAGATCGTCATGGCGCACGAGAACGACCCGGACCTCGGCGGCTGCCCCTTCTCCAAGTTTTTCGAAACCACGCCGCAGGAGCGATTGTCTCGCATTGACGTTCGTCCTCTCCCCTCCGCCTGCATCCCTCTCCTCCCAACGCCGCAGGAGCTCATCGCCGGCGGACTCTACAAGGACCTGGCAAAGTCGTGCTTCCCCGGGCGCCACCGCAAGGCGCGCGCCCTCTCTCCCACAGCTCGCGCATATAGCTTTGTGCCGAGGGGCTGTCCCTCTCCGCAGGTGTCGCTCGTGCTTCTGGCAAAAAGCCTCGGCGCGACCCCCGCTCGGTCGCGGGCGGATTTGCTTTCAGACAGCATCGCCGAGCGCGGCAGCCTCGCGGGGCGCAGCTTAGGCGGCCTTAGCCGGGTGTTTGCCAAGATGAGCAGCCGCAGCTCTGCGGAGGCTCCCCCGCGCGACGGCGCTGGAGGCGAGGCGTCGTCATCGGCATCGGTGCCGGTGCAGCAGCAGGTCTGATCGGCTGCGAGGTTGTGCGCAAAGATCCAAAGTGCGGCGCGGCGATGCACCGACACACACGCGACACGGGACTCACACGTTAGTACAAAGAGCTAGCTCGCACATGGTCGCATCCCGCGTGGAATGAGCGCGGCCTTGAGCGTTTGGGGAGAGGGGGGGGGGGGGGCTGTCACATGGCTCTTTCTTAGAGGCACCAATACGGTGGCTGAGGCTGGGGCTGTCGCGCTCGCATTTCTTTTTCTTGTTGCGGTGTGAGGGAGTTCGCTTGTCATAGTATATACTATCTAAAACGGATCTGGTGTCCCTTGTCTAGAGGGTGCGCAGCGTCCTAATCTGAAATCTGACGATTCTTCAGGCATCGTCAGGCTTCAGTGAGGCCAAACTAACGCGGTGAGTTTATCTGGGCGGATGTGTGCGAGAACGGTAGAGTACGCGGGAGGCGAGGAGTCACGCGGACCGACTCGTCGGTGACTCTCCTGCACGCGCCGTTTCAGAATTTTTCTCAGCGGACAGCGACAAGGAGGAGGACACACACGTACTGACGTGGCTGCACGTATGGGAGGTAAAGTTGGCGGCGTCACGCTGCCCGGCTTCCCGGGCAGGTCGCCGCCGGTCCGCGCCAAAAGAAGATCGGGCTGAGGTTCGCGGCGTGCCACGCGGGCCGTGTCGCAGTCGGACGCGCCGGATTTCTTTTTCATCCCCCGCCACCCCCTGCCTGACAGCTGACTGTCGGTCACCCCTCAACCGCGCCGTGCGCACCCAGAGCACGCGCCTGCCTGCTGCTGCGCGAGCGGCGTGCGTCGCCAAAGTCCGTGTACGCGGCCGAGTCGTGCTCGATGCCGAAGCCGAGCTCCTGCCTCATGCGGCGGGGGGCGCCGGGCGGCCCCGCCTTGAGGAGCAGCGCGGGCTGCGTCCGGTACATCCGCTGCAGGATGAGCATCTTGTGGTGCACGTCGAAGGTGTCCGACTCGAGGTCGGCGCAGTCCTAATGAGGCAACGACGACCTAGAGTCAGGGGTGAGTCAAGAGTGTCCGACTCTCGGTCAGCGCGGGCCTCGAAGAGGAGCTGCCGCTCTCCGGCCGAGAGGAGGACGCGGTGCCGCCGCACCTTCTGGCGCATCGCGTGCAGCGAGATGACGAGCAGGCCGAGGTCGACCTCGGACAGCACCTGTGAGACCGATTGGCTGGGGATTGAGCAGGCGAGAGGAGCAAGCCGAGGTCGAGACTCGGAGAGCACCTCTGCGCCGGCGGCGAGCGAGCGGAGGAGGAGCCGCTCCGTATCGCGCAGCACGAGCCGCACCTAACCAGCGGCTCGAGCGATCCACAGGGATGGGACTGAGGGGCAGCGGCTCTGTGCCGCGCCTGCTTGAGCAGAGAGGCGCGAGAGCGGCGGCGCGAGCGTCGTCACTGGATTCGGGTACCGGGTTGGTGGGGTACTGCGTCGACGGTGCGCGAGGGCTACGGCGCCCGGCAGCATCGCCGACATCGTCGCGGTGAGCGAGTTTTGTGCCATGAGGGTGTCCATCGCGCCCATCTGCACGAGCAATCACCCGAGGTCTACCCGAGATTCCCCGAGATCGCCGCGAGATCGCCCGAGATTACCCGAGAGCCCCTCCCCTCGCGCCCACCACCTGCACGAGCTCGCGCCGCATGTACTGCGTCTGGATGAGCAGCAGCTGCAGCAGCGGCCCGCGCGCCATCGAGTATACGGGCGACTGCATCTGCTGCTCGAAGAGGAGCGACATCGCCTCGAGCTCCGCGGCCTCCGCCTCGTCGGGAGGCATCCTAAGTCCGAAGGTTCCTGGAAGGCTCCTAGAAGGCTCCTGAGTGAGAAGGGGAGCGAGCTCACCACCGAGGGGCTCCTCCGCCTCGTGCGCGAGTCTCGGGGACTCTCGGGGACTCTCGGGGACTCTCTCGGGAACTCTCGGGAAATCTCGGGGAATCTGGTGCGGGAAGGGCGCCCGTCCGTGAAGACGGGCGTCGCGCCGTACCCGCTCGCCCACCTGACCACACCACCCGGAGTAACGCGGTATGGGTGTCCATGACTGGAGAGGCGCTCCAGCCGAGCGTCGGCTGCTTCGCTCGTGGAATGGCAGCCCACCGAGGCGCCCGCCGACCCCGCAGAGCCGGTGCCGCACGCGCCGCGCGGGACTATCACCTATAGCTTTTGGGGGTGGGGAAGTCCGCCTTTGGTGAGCGAGTAACGACGCCGGCGCGAGGAGACGCCGAGAACCTAGAAAGGAACCCGGAAGAGCGTATTCCGGCGCGTGCGCGCGATTCTTTTCGGATGCTGTGCCTTTTGTGGTGCTAGTTCGTGCCAGTCTGCGCTGTGAGAGGGTCTGCGCCCTTGAATTCCGAGTGTTAGTGCCAGTGCGCGCCAGTCCCGTGCCCTGTGTTGTGCGAGGGAGTTTTTGTAAAATTCTTTTCGCAGTTCCTTTGTAAAATTCTTTTCGGAACGGCGCGTCCAAAGCGAGCAGCCGGTCAAGGTGTGCAAGACGGGGATGGAGCGGGAGCTGCGCGCCGCCTGCCGAGCCGGTAACCTGCAGCGCGTGCAAGAGCTGCACGGGCAGGGCGTGACCCTCACCGCCGCCATCAACAACGGCGTGCAGCCCATCCACGACGCCGCAGCGGGCGGCCACCTCGACGTCGTGAAGTGGCTGCACGGGCAGGGCGTGCCCCTCACCGCCGCCGACAACGACGGCTGGCAGCCCATCCACTTCGCCGCTAAGAACGGCCACCTCGATGTCGTGCAGTGGCTCGTCGGGCAGGGCGTGTCCCTCACTGCCGCCACCAACGACGGCCGGCAGCCCATCCACTTCGCCGCAGCGGGCGGCCGCCTCGACGTCGTGAAGTGGCTGCACGGGCAGGGCGTGCCCCTCACCGCCGCCAACAACGACGGCGGGCAGCCCATCCACGCCGCCGCACGCTACAGCCACCTCGACCTCGTGAAGTGGCTGCACGGGCAGGGTGCCGATGCTGCGGTGACGGTGACGGGTGGCCCGTTCGCTGGCGACACGCCAGCCGCCTTGGCTCGCCGCAACGGGCACGGCGACGTCGCCAACTGGCTGGACGGCGTGGGGGGCGGCGAGGGCGGGGGCGGCGAGGGCGGTGACGAGGGCGGCGGCGGCGAGGGTGGCGGCGGCGAGGGTGGAGACGAGGGCGGCGGCGGGGGCGGCGCGGCTGGAGGCGAGGGCGAGAGCGGCGGCATGCCGGACGGCGGCGTGCTCAACGCGCCGCCCCGCCAGCCCCCGCGCAACGCGCCGCAGCCGCCCCCCGCCCCCACCCGCGTGGACTTTGGCACGGTCGTCGGGAGCCGCGCCAAGGCCTCCATCGCGGTCCCGGACCTCGCTCTCGGCACGCTCCTCATCGGCGACCCCGGCAGCGGCAAGACTTGGCTGCTGAAGCAGCTCATCGCCTGCTGCGCGGTGCAGCTGACGAGCCTCAAGGAGATCATTGTGCTCGACCTCAAGGGCGACCTCACGCAGATGATCCGCGGCACGGATGTTGCTTTTGACCAGGACGTGGACGTCTGCGTCTACACGGTCGGCTCCGACATGGGGCTGCCCGGCACACTCAGCCCCTTCAACCGCACGCTCGAGCTCAACTCGTTCGACCTCACGACGCGCGAGGGCAAGAGCGGCTTCTTCATCCTTGCCACGGACGTTGCGGCCGACGTCCTGAGCGGCACGGTCTGCCTCGACAAGACGGGCAACGCGCGGCTCGAGGGCGGCTTCGACATGCCGACCGCGCGGAACGCGAGCGGCGCCTACGGCGTGCGCGCCGCCGACGACAAGAAGATCGCCTCGGCGCTCATCGACTCGGTGTGCAAGGTCTTCTTCAAGTGCAAGGAGGCCGGCGGAAGCGTGCCCACGTCGTTCGAGCAGCTGCTGCGCGAGCTCAACCAGGCCGACCAGCCGTACGTCGGCGCCACCGACAACCGGCGGGACGCGCGGCCGATTGTGATGGGTCCGGTCAGCCAGGAGGACCTCGACGCGGTCAAGCGCGAGATCGAGGTGCGCATGGACCCGTCGGGCGGCCTCGAGCTGCTGTACCAGCCGATCAAGGGCAACGAGGCGGCCCCATCCGACGACGACGTGTACCCGCTCGACGCCTCGACCTTCTGCGGGCCGCGCGAGGCGGGCAAGCGCGTCAAGCTGTCCATCGTCAACCTGGCGCTCCTCGGCAACGGCTACGGCGCCGAGACGATGCGCAAGCTCGTCGCCTCGACCGTGCTGCGCCGCATCGAGGGCCACGCCAGCGAGGGCACCGGCACGCAGGCCGCGCCCGAGACGATGGTCGTGGTCGACGAGGCGCACATGGTCATGCCCAACGTGGGCCAGACGCAGTCCGGCGACGCCGTCACGTCGACGGCGATGGCGAAGCGGCTGCTGCAGCTGCACCGCGACAAGGGCTTCCCGCTGGTCATCGCGACGCAGCGGCCGGCCGACCTGGACAAGAACCTGCGCGGCATGATCACCGGCACGCGGCTCATCGGCAAGCTCGAGGGCACCGACAAGGACCGCAAGGACCTCATCGACACTGTGGTCAAGAACACGGACCACAACAAGAGCTTCCGCGACAAGATGAAGACGCTCCAGCCGCGCCAGTTCATCCACATCGCCTCGGGCGGCTCCGACGCGCTGCAGGTGGTCGAGTCGGGCCAGCTGAAGCGCCTGCACGAGTCGTCGGCCGCGTGGGTCAAGGGCTTCTCGCCGCAGCACCCGCTCGCGGCGCACGACGAGGAGCGCCGTGCCAAGCGCGCGCGCGCGCAGCGGTACCGCGGGCTCATTGGGCCGGTAGCACAGCACCTCTCTCACTTTTGACCGCATGCCAGCGAGCAGTGTGTGCAACGCATGAGCGCCGTACTACGTACCATCGTGTGGGGGAGCGTACGTACCATCATGTGGGGTCTCGTACGAGTAGTATAGTACACAGAGCAGATAGTGGGTGCGGCTGTGTGGGGTCTGGTACAGTTCAGACCTCTCTTTTTTGGAGGAGCTTCAGTGAGCAAGGGCGTTGGTCTGTGATGTGCGCATTTGTGTTCGTACGGTATGCATGCGCCATGCGGTAGAACGTAGATCGGTAGATCGCGCCACATGTCGCAGACGCACATGCGGCCCTCAGAAGTCAGAGCCGAGAGCGACCGGGGTACGGTAGCCCCCGCCGCAGCGCACGCGCTCTTGGCAGCCGCGCCGGACGTCCCGCGCTCTATGTACGCATGCGTGAGCTGTGCCGGCCGGGTACTGGGTTGCCCGTTGGCGGTGCGCGGGTGCGGGCCGCGAAACTAACTCGGTATTACGTCTACCATTAAGTAAGCATTATCACAGCACACGCTGGTCTCTCAGCCAGTGCGCGCCACTCTCGTGCCCCAGAGAGATTGTACAATTCGTGCACGCTTTTCTTGTTTCCTGTGTTAGAAAGAAAAGAAAGAAAGAAAACGTACAACAAAAGTGGAATGGCAGCAACGGGGAGCGGCAGCGTGGTCGGAGGCGGGACGGCGCCGAAGTGCTGCGCGGTGAGGCCCTCGGCCAGCGCCCAGTAGCTCGGCGTGGTGGCCAGCCCTGGCGTGTAGCTGGCGATGGCGACGAGCTGCCCGAGGTGGTTGAAGAGGGGCTTGCCGCTGTCGCCAAAGGTGAGGGCCAGCTCATCGGACTTGACGAGGCCGCGGGCAGCGTAGACGCGCCCTGCGGACTCGTGGTAGCGCTGGCAAACGTCGGTGTAGCCCTCGGTGAAGGCGACGTCGGCCTGTCGAGAGCAGACCGATTCCTCAGCAGGGAGGCGGGAGTTACCGAGCAGGGGTGCCGAGAGGATTGAGCTGTGCTTTCGTCGGGCCGACGAACATACGCGCGCGGCGCCAGGAATACCGCTGGTCTCTCTTGCCCGCTCGCGCCGGTGCGTCTGCCCAGACATCTCTCATCGCGGGGTGTGGCCTCTCTTAGCGGCGCCCCACCCACCCCACTCGGTCGCGCGAACCAGCAACGCGTGTCGCGGCTCGCCCCACCAAGCGAGCGTCGCCGCCGCTGCATGATGACGCGCAAGGCTTGCAACCATGCAGAATGAATTCGTGCGAGCCGCCGAGCAGGGTGCGCGCTGCCACCACCACAATGATGTGTGAGTGTTAGAGTTGTTTGGTATTGCTAAGAATCTCTCTCTAGGGATTTTATTCTCGGCCGGAAGTGCGCGGCTCAACTTCTAATAAATTGTGCCATGTGTATCCGGACGCGGGCAGCACGGAACCGATTTTTATTCGGCGCAGACCCCTCCTTCCTGAGTCACCAGAAAATCCCAACGATCCTCGAGCGGAGGCCGCCTTAGCCACTTTTCCGGCCTCTCCGGAGAATCGGAGAGAATGGCTACCAAAGCCCAGCATGGCACCCGCGGGCAAAGCTGCCCCCAGGTCCCTAGAGCCCATGGGCATTCCCAAAGGATATGTCAGCGTGAGGTGAGAGCGCAACGGTTGGGGCTCTCACCAGCCCCTCAAAGTCGGGCCTCTCGGGAGGCGGTCAGACTCAGAGGGGCGGGCAAGGGCACGTGGGAGAAGGGTCAGCTCGCAACGAATCTCGCCGGCCTCACCGGCCCACACCGCCCTCACTTTGGCATGCCCCTATGCCAGTTCGCACCTGTGTCGAGCCTGTCTGCTGTGAGAGCACTTGGAGCACTTGGAGTGCAGTTATTAGCCTCACATCCAGGGCCGGGGAGCTCAGAAGCGCACCCAGCGGGCCGGATGATCGGGATCGGGTTGCGGGCAAGAAAGCCCTAGCCCCGGGGGTGCGCATTCGCAGGGCAAGGGCCTTAAAGTAAACACAGTTCTCCGAGAGGGCTCCGTGTACCGGGTTTCCCCTTAACTGCAGAACGCCCCCTCTACTCGGAGCTAGTGGACACACGGACACTACGACACCACCCGTCACGTACACACACGACTGTCTAACGTGTACCCTGCCCGGCCTCGCCCCCCACCCCTCAGGGTGAATCTTCAGTCTGGTTCGGTCTCTTGCTCGCCTTTCGGGCGTCGCCCCACTGCCTCTGCAGTCGTTTTTGATGTCTCTTCTTCGGAGGCGGCCCCTCCGCCCCACCTCCATCGGCTAGCCCCATTGGCCCCGAGGGAGCCGACAGCCCGGGTGGGGCCTCCCCGGGCGGGAGTGGCGGCATTGTGTCTCGTCGCCACCCCTCCCCGGGAGGTCGGGTCGGCTCTCCCTGGTCGGCGAATCGCGCCCGCATCCGCGGCCTCTCTATCGTTCTCGGCTCGCCCCCCCCCTCCGCCGGCTCCTCTCCAGGCTCGGGGAGGCGTGGCCCTCCCTGTCGAAGGTCGTGGTGGTCCGAGAGAGACTTATTTTGTTTAAATTCTTGCACAGGCGAAGACATAAGTGGACGCACGTCATCCAGAGACCAGACTCCCACCGATGCCGCCGCCGAGTGCGTGCAAGCGCCACCCGCTCTACACCGAGTCTCCCGGCTCGTCGGCCGCCCTTGTGGCGATGCTCGGCCGCGCTGCAGACCCGCAAACCTCCTTGAGCCGCTTGCGTAGAGCCGAGGCTCCACTTGCTGAGAGCCCCCATTCTGTGCATAGGCGGGCGCATGCCGAGCGTGCCATCTTTAGTGATCAGCAGCTTTCATTGCAGACAAAGGCGCGAGGGCACTCGTTTCATACCCCACTATCGCCTCCGGAGCCGTTGTTGGCCCAAATTCCAACCGCCTGCCTCTAGGAGTGCGTCGAGACCGGCGGCAAGCCGACCCTTGGCGCGGGCAGTCGCTGGTTCCACTACCGCAGCGCGACCAACCGGACCGATCCCGGACCGAGCGATCCCGGGTTTTGCGGATTTGGCGGCCACAAACGAGAGAGACTGCTACATTCCGTTGGCATGCGCGGCGGCGTGTGGTCTGCGCAGAGCGGCAGCCACCACGGCGGCGTCCTTCCATGCGGCGAGATGCACCGGTACCGCCTGAGCCGCCACGACTACTGCTTTGCTCCGAGTCGAGAGTACCGCACCCCGCCGCCCGAGCAGACGGCCTGGCTTCGCGGCCTCACGCTGTGGGCCAGCGAGAAGCACACCTCCAACTTTAATCACTTCAATCGCGATCTCCTCTTTGTGTCGCGCGCTCTTCGCCTGCACCGTGAGGGTGGTAAGGAGGTGGGCCTGCCGTCCTCGGCGAGGCTCGTAGTGCAGGACGACGAGCCACTCCAGGCGTGGTCGCTCGAGCAGCTCCGTGCCCTTGTGCCCCCCGAGCTCCGAGCCGAGACCCTCTGGGTGGTCGGAGGCACCCGCAAGAGCTCGCGCCGGGCGCAGGCGGCCAAGCTCGCCCTCTCCTCGGCGAGGCTTCCCGCCGCCCGTTTCGTGTGCTTTGAGGCGATTGCCCAGAAGCTGCACGTCTACCCCGGCGACCGTGACGACGCCGCCGAGGTCCGCCGGAGAGCGCTCGCGCACTGCGGGCTCTCCCCAGGGGCGGCGAGGCACGTCCTGCTGGAGGAGCGAGTCGGCGGCTCGCGCAGACTGAACAACAGCGCGGCTCTGTCGCGCATGCTCTCCCGGCTGGCGTCGCGGATGGGACTGCCCCTCCGAAGGCTGAGCTTTTCCCGCTTGGGCTACTGCGAGCAGGTGCGTGTCGTGTCCGAGGCGGCGATCTTCGTCGGAGTCCATGGGCAAGGAATGACCAACGCCATCTTCATTCCCCCGCAATCCTTGGTTGTCGAGCTCTTCCACACCTCGCAATCTGTTGCGGTGTCGACGTCGCGCGCTGGGCAGGACGCCGACGTCTACCTCGGCCACCAGCCGCTCGCAGTCGCGCGTGGCATGCACTACCTGGCCGCAGCGGTGGCGACGGCGCCGTGCTCTTTCTCTGCTTGGAAGTTCGATGCCGCGTGCCCGAGCCACATCGACCTGTCGAGACTATCCGCGGCGCTGTCCGAGTACGCAGCGCTCATGGCGAGCCATGTGCGCACCGTAGCAATGCCACGCCCAGCATGGGTCGACGCGGCGTTGGTGTGGAGGGACTCATCAATGAGCTCCGCACGTAATCGTAAAAAGTGAAGAGTTCTAAGATCTAACGGTCAAAGGCGTCAGAAGGACGCAAGCCGACCATGTGAGCTCCACGTACATAGAAGGCCGTTTATTCAAGCGCATCTTTGTCATTGTCCTGAGCGAGGCACACAGCCACACCCTAGAGAGGGTTATGTGACTTACGCTCTAGAGTATATGTCTTTGGCGCGCGAGTTCACTTTCTATATTTGGAGTGTGTGTCGGACTAGACGCGCGAGAGGCGCATCGAGTCCACAAACTCCTCGCGCACCGCGCCGCGAACCGTCATCACGGCCGCCTGCGCCTCGAGCAGCGCGCCGTACGACCTCTCCAGCGGCGGCGCGTCGCCGCCCGCCTCGGCTCGCGCGATGGCGGCCGCGACGGCGTCCGCAGCCAGCTTCTCCGTCTCCAAATAGGTGAGGAACTGCGCCTCTCCCTCCCACCGCGCAGAGAGGAGCGACTCGAATTGTTCCGCCGCCTCGCCCGCCGCCGCGACGTCCAGAGCGCCGGCCGCCACAGCGGCGTCCAGCCGCACTCGGAGCCGGAACATCCTGGTGGAGCAACGACAGAGGGAGGGTCATATAGAGCCGTGAGAGGGCCTACGTCGCAGCCGAAGTGTGTCCGCGCCTCGAGTGGAGGTTGGGAGTGCCGACGAAGAGCTGTAGGTCGAAGCGGCCAGGGCGCGTGACGGCAGCGTCGAGCGAGGCGAGCCTGGAGGTGTGAGGAGACGCTGCTCACAGCTTGAGGTTGCAAGCTTGAGGTATGAATTGCTGCGGTCGAAGGGGCGCCGGTTTGTGGCGATGAAGAAGGCGACGCGCCGCGCGCCGCGCAAGTCTGCTAGCTTGGTGAGCATCGCCGTGGTGAGCATGCGCGACTCCATTGCGAGAGCCGGGTTGGTGCGGTCCAGCGCGAACTCCTCGACCTCGTCGAAGAGGACGACGACGTCTTGCAGCTGCAGCAGCAGCTCGAAGACCTCGGAGATGCGCGCGGCGACGTTGGAGAGGCCGGCAGAGAGGAAGGTGGACGTGTCCACCTGGGAGCGACACGACATTGCGGTGTGGTCACGGGGAGGGGGGGCAAGGCAGCAGCACTGGGCGGCTCAGGTGACGATGGGGAGGGGGCGGGGGGAGGGGAGAGTGTCTGTTGTTGGGTGGGTGCGACGCGCCGTGACGAGGCCCCACCCGAGCCGAGCCGCAATGGCGGCGACGACGGTCGTCTTGGCGGTGCCCGGTGGGCCAAAGAGGATCGCAGAGTAGGACGCGGCGCCGGCGAGGGCGGCGAAGTCGGCGCCGCCCGACACTCCTCCTCCGACTCCTCCTCCCCCCGCCAGCCTCGGTCTGCCAAGAGGGTCGGCGGCGGCGAGGGCGAGAAGCGGCTCGACCATCTTGCCCTCGATGGTGCCCTTTAGCGTGGCGCCTGTTCGCATCGAAGCGCTGACGAGCCGAGGCCCACGCGCCAGGGGTGGCGGGGGTAGAGCGCGCCGCCGCCGCCCGCCCCTCCGGGCAGATCCGAGTCGAGCAGCCGCGACCATGGCCTCAAGTCTCGCGCGGAGGCGGGGCGGCCGCCCAGCTCTGCGAGCACCTGCGCACGGCCAGCGAGGTGTGGAGAGACCGGCGCAGTTCACGCGTGACGTGCGGGGTGCGGAGAGGAGGCGCCCGGGCTCGGGGCGCGGGACGGGGAGAGGGGTGGCGGAGAAGGAGGGGGCGTGGGCGAGGAGGGGGAGGGGGGCGGTGGGGAGCGGGGGAGGAAGAGGGGGAGGGATCCGACTAGAGGAGGAGGCGGTGGGGGTAGGAGGGTAGGGGAGGAGGGGGGCGTGTTTGGGGAGATGGGGGATCGGGTCAGCTGCGCTCGCACGTCTGCGCACAGGAGGGTCCGCACGAGCGCGCGGCTCCTCGCCGCGCATCGCACCGCCTGAGCGCGCGGCGTGGGCCGCGTCGTGACTTTTGTCCTGGGCGCCGCTGCGAGGAGGGGACACGGACCGACCGCCTGTGCTGTACACCAGCCGAGCGGGCCTCCCTCCGGCGGCAGGTGGGAGGAGCGCCACCTGATGAACCATCCATGGGCGGCTGCATCAGACCGCATCGGAGAGAGAGAGCGCCGTGCCGCAAGGGGAGAGGGGCAGGGAACTGCCATCGGGAGGAGAGGATGGAGGCGTGAGGCGCGTGCGACGGGGGGAGGGGTTGATGATCGCTCGCCCCATAAGGCGCCCGCCCGTCGGCAGCAGCTCCTCCACGACGTGCGACGCGAGCCACGCCTGTCCACAGCGAGCGGCGTGAACGGCGCCTGCTCGCAGCTCCGCCACCGCGTGGGGCGAGGGCCTCACCGTGTGCGAGGCGACGGCGCCGAGATGCGGCCGCATCGCCTGGCGATGTGGGGCAAGCAACGCGGTCTCTTGGCTAATCTCGCCATCACAGCCGCCAGCTCCTCCAACCGTTCCATCAGGTGTCATTCAGATATCGATGAGGGCGAGCAGCGCGACACGATTGCAAATGAGCGCAGAAGTCCAGGCAGAGCCGAGAGAGAGCGAGGTCTGCCGAGATCTGGCCGAGGGCTTGCCGAGATCTGACGTGCACGTAGCTGCGGGGAGATGTCAGGAGATGTGGGGAGATGTGGGGAGATATGGGGAGATATGGGGAGATATGGGGAGATCTGGCCGAGAAGTGCGAGCCTCGGGCGGCAACGTCTCGATGAGCGAGGCGAGGAGGTCTGGCGAGAAGACAAAGGCGTTGCCGACGTCGTTGCCGCGCCCGCGCGTGGTGAAGATGGGCTGCCCCGACGGCCACAGGCCGTTGCCGCCCAGCTCGCCAAACACCGCCGCCAGCGCCTACAGCCACCCGGGTCGACCTCTCGTGATCTCGGATGATCCCATCTCGGCTGCACGGTGGCGGCTCTCGTCGGCTGCCCATCTCGGCCATCTCGGCTGAACCTCGGCTCCGTGAGCTCAGCCCCTCTCGGCGGAACCTCGGCTCCACCTCGGCTCCAACTCTCGGCTAGATCTCGGCTGGGTCTCGGCTAGATCTCGCCGCGCGAGGAGCAGCTCCCCTGCTGTATCTCGGCTGTATCTCGGCTGTATCTCGGCTCGATCTCGCCGCGCGGATCAGCTTCTCGTTGCGCGGCGGCAGCGCAAATCCGCCGAAGCGGCCGTCGCGCTCTCGCGACTCTGCGGGGGTTCTGCGGGGGTTATGCGGGGGTCGGCGGCGGGAGTCTGGCCGAAACGCACCTCCAGCCGAGGTGAGCCGAGGCGTGGCCGAGATGCTGCTGAGACCAGTCGAGACGATCTCTAGCTGACGCCTCGCTGAGGAGAGCCTGGCCGCGGGCGCCTGTGGGGTCGGCGGCGGCGGCGGCGAGGCGCGACGGCGAGACGTACGAGCGGAGCGCGTCGCTGACGTGCACGTAGCTGCGGGGAGATGTCGGGAGATGTCGGGAGATGTCGGGAGATATGGGGAGATATGGGGCGATATGGGGAGATATGAGGAGATATGGGGAGATGTGGGGAGATGTGGGGAGATGTGGGGAGATATACGGGAGATATGCCACGCACCTGAGCAAGGAGTACGCGAGGACGACGACGTCAAAGAGTGAGGTGTCTCCCGCAGCGTGGTAGGCGAGCTGGCGGCAGACGTCGTCGAAAGCGACCTCGCAGGAGCGCTCCAGCGCCACCAGCACCGCCGCCGCGCAGCCCTCTCCCTCGCCACCGCCCTCGCCGCCGCCGGTGGCCTTGGCGGCGGGGAGAGCCGCGGCGGGGATCGAGGGGTGGAGGGAGGGCTGGCACGGCGCCTCTGCGCCCGGGCGGCACTCCTCGACATTGACCGCCTAGTCTCGGGGGGCAATCTCGTGTGATCTCGGGTGGTCTCTGCCCCCCCCCCCCCCGGCGGCGGCACATCTTAGCCAACCCAACCCCTTCACACCGGGGCTCTCTTCACACCGCGGCTCTCTTCACTCACAGCAGACTGTGAGAGACCCGTGAAGGATTCAGACTGTGAGACCCGTGAGGGTTCGCGGGGCCGACTGCAGTGTACAGCGGGGAGGAGTGAAGGATTCAGACTGTGAGACCCGTGAGGGTTCGCGGGGCCGACTGCAGTGTACAGCGGGGAGGAGTGAAGGATTCAGACTGTGAGACCCGTGAGGGTTCGCGGGGCCGACTGCAGTGTACAGCGGGGAGGAGTGAAGGATTCAGACTGCGAGACCCGTGAGGGTTCGCGGGGCCGACTGCAGTGTACAGCGGGGAGGAGTGAAGGATTCAGACTGTGAGACCCGTGAGGGTTCGCGGGGCCGACTGCAGTGTACAGCGGGGAGGAGTGAAGGATTCAGACTGTGAGACCCGTGAGGGCTCGCGGGGCCGACTGCAGTGTACAGCGGGGAGGAGTGAAGGATTCAGACTGCGAGACCCGTGAGGGTTCGCGGGGCCGACTGCAGTGTACAGCGGGGAGGAGTGAAGGATTCAGACTGCGAGACCCGTGAGGGTTCGCGGGCCGACTGCAGTGTACAGCGGGGAGGAGTGAAGGATTCAGACTGTGAGACCCGTGAGGGTTCGCGGGGCCGACTGCAGTGTACAGCGGGGAGGAGTGAAGGATTCAGACTGTGAGACCCGTGAGGGTTCGCGGGGCCGACTGCAGTGTACAGCGGGGGGGAGTGAAGGATTCAGACTGTGAGGCCCGTGAGGGTTCGCGGGGCCGACTGCAGTGTACAGCGGGGAGGAGTGAAGGATTCAGACTGCGAGACCCGTGAGGGTTCGCGGGGCCGACTGCAGTGTACAGCGGGGAGGAGTGCATCGTAGGCGCTGACCGCGTCCGGGTTGAGGAGGAGCGTGCTCGCGCGCGCCTGCGACATGGCCGAGAGACGCCGAGGTTACTGTTGCGAAAGCAGAGCAGACGTCGCGTAGACGCGGCGTATAGCGGAGACACGGCGGAGACCGCAATCCGTGGGCAGTCCCGGGCAGAGTGAGATGTGGCGCCAAATGTCTATGTACGCCGTGTTTCGGCCCGCTCGGCCAGATCTCGGCTGCATCTCGCCGTCCAGTAGCGCATGTATGCAGACTCGCGCTGGTTCCGCCCAGCGCGGCGGCGAGGCCTAAGTGGGGGGCAGCGAGGGAGCTGCATAGGCGGGCGGGCGGGCGGGCAGGAGGGCGGTGGTGGCGGTGGCGGCGGCGGTTGGTAGCGGTGGCGGCGGTGACAGCGGTGTCGGCGGTGTCGGCGGTGGCGGCGGCGGTGTCGGCGGCGGTGTCGGCGGCGGTGGCGGCGGTGGCGGCGGTGGCGGCGGTGGCGGCGGTGGCGGCGGTGGCGGCGGTGGCGGCGGTGGCGGCGGCGGTGGTGGCGGTGGCGGTGGTGGTGGCTCTCCTGGCGGCGAGAATCGTCTCGACGGCGAGCGCGAACTTGGCCTGCGAGGCGGGCGAGGAGGCGAGCGCGGCGGCCGCAGGGTCGAGCAGCCGCTCACTCACCTTCAGAGGAGGCGCCGTGTTGAAGTGTGCGAAGCTGTGTCTTGAACCGCTAGCCGCTGGCTCGCCACGACGAGAGCCGCCTGGAAGGGGTCGTTCACGCGCCATTCGGCGGCGAGAAGCGCGGACAGCACCTAACAACAGCCTCCGTCATGGATGGTGCGTAGCAGCAATCTGGCTTGTGGGTGAGCAGTTTTGCTATGACCGTGACTGGAGCCGGCCCATCCGTCCAAGCCCAGGGGTCGGCGTCGAGCGCGAGCAGCGCAAAGGCGGAGGTGGTCACCGAGAGGCGCGGCGCGCCGGGCGTGATGGCGAACGAGTCTGTCCGCTGGTCGAAGAATCCCGACATGTGATCAGCGCCGGCTGCGCAAAGCTTGCTGAGCTGCCCGTCAAGGGCTCTGCTCTCGCCAAAGGAGAGCGCGAGGCGCGCACCGCCGTGACGACACTGCGGACGCTGAGCGGCGAGCAATGCCGTGAGTACGCGCATGTATTTCGCTCTCGGGGTCCGCGAGTGTCGGCAGGGATGTCACGCCGAGCTCGCGCCGAGATCCAGGAGCGTCGCTCGGAAGCCTGTGAGGCCGCAGCGAGTTCGCGCGGGGAGGCCTTGCTTGAGCACTTAGGCCTCGCCCCCCTCCCCTTCAGGCGTCGTGGCATCCTGTGTATGGGCTATGGCCGTCCATCGCCAACTCGGCAACTCGCTCGCTGGTCTCTCTCTCTCCGCAAAGGAAGGCCTCCCGACCGACCGCGTCGAATTCATCGACGCGTGCTCTCTCGGCTACCGAGATCGGCCCCAGCTTCGGCTGAGGGCTGACAAGCTGCCGAGCCCAAATCACTGTGGTCTGTGCGGGTGTGATTTATTGTTGGGTTTCAAAAATCTCTCTCAGTCAGACACGTCCGGTACTCCGGTTGCAAGGGCCGCACCCGCCCGACCGATTTGCAAGGAAGGGCGCACGGATTCTCTCTTCTTTCATGCTACTCTAGTAGGTGTGGAATCCTACCTGTGTGTAACCAACGTCAACAAAAATCTCTCTCTCCCAACATCTGGAGCGGCCGCACTCTGCTCGCTACCCCCCCTGCACAACTAAGCTCATGGCCGACCCCCCCCCCAGCAGGAGCGCTCTGCTGCTGGGGGGGTCGGGACCCCCCCCCCAGCAGGAGCGCTCTGCTGCTGGGGGGGTCGGGACCCCCCCCCAGCAGGAGCGCTCTGCCTGTGGGGGGTGCTGGCATCTCTGTACGATTGTGATGAGCATTTTTCGGCGGCTTGCGCCGCCCAGTCGTCGGCGAGGTGCTGGATATTAAACGGCTTGAGGGCGAGCCGCATGGCTTGCACCACGTCGCTGCCCGCCATTGCGGCGACGCGTCGCGGCGGACCTGACAGTTTTGCTGGGCGACGGGCGCGCGCGCGTTTTCGAAAAAAGAAAAGGCAGACGGCTCAGCTTGATGACAGATTAGTCGATCGATTTGCGACGAGCGAGCGATAAGGGGATCGAGCGGGGGACCGATAGGCTAGGGAGATCAACGCTGATCGATCAACGTCAGCCGAGACGCCCGAGTGAGTCTATCTTGTTCTACCACATGGATGAACAGCTCTCTCACACAATGGTCACAAGTCTTTAGTAAAACGCCAGCACTCGACACGACGAAGGTGTATTGGGCTCGAAGGCGCGGCGAACACAACCGCCTCGAGCGTACGAGTACCGCTTAAACACGAACCGAGGGCGGAGAGGGGGGGGCGGCGGCGAGGAGGCGGGAGAGCTGGGTCCAGTGCGCTCTGCTGCTGGGGGGGTCGGGACCCCCCCCCAGCAGGAGCGCTCTGCTGCTGGGGGGGGTCAGAACCCCCCCCCCCCCTAGCAGCAGGGATGAGCTTAGTTGTGCAGGGGGGGTAGCGAGCAGAGTGCGACCGCTCCGGGGGTCTTGCCTGTCTTTCTGTTTTTGAGGAGAGGGGAGATCTCTCTCTCTGTCTGTTTTTGTGTATAAATAAATAATAAATAGAGCAGCAGCAGGCATCTCCAGGAGATAGATGTTTTTAACAAAATAAATAAAACCCTAGCTAGGGCTGGGTCGAGGACAGACACGTCCCCACCTTTGCAGAGCCGCCCGAATTCTTCCCTGCCAGCGCATTTGGGAGGACACAGACATGCAGACCTCGAAATTGCGAACGATCCTGCAGCAGCGACGGGAAGTGATACAGCGTGCTGAGGAGCGCAAAGCAGCGGTGGTAGTCGTATCTTTTGTGTGGGCGCTGACGGCGATGACGTTCTTGGCAGGGTTGTGGCCGCCGCCGCGTCGAACGGGGCAGTCGCCGACTCTGCATGCACTGCCTCCGCCGGCGATAGGACCGCCACCTCTTCCGTCGCCAATCGCGCCGCCCTCGTCGCCGCCGTCGACGCTGCCGACACCTCCGCCGTCGCCGCTGCCGCCACCTCCGCCGTCGCCGCTGCCGCTGCCGCCACCTCCGCCGCTGCCGCTGCCGCCACCTCCGCCGCTGCCGCTGCCGCTGCCGCCACCTCCGCCGCTGCCGCTGCCGCCACCTCCGCCCTCGCCGACGCCACTACAATCGCGATGGGACTCGCTTCTCAGATACGCACACAGCCTCGGCAAAATGCAAGGATGGCGCCGGGACTCGAGCGAGAAGAGGCCCACCGTCCTCGGTGTCTCCTGCTCAGACCGCGAGATCTACCTCGGCCTCGCCGCCTCCGCGGCGGTGGCGATGTACGTCACTTGCAACCATGCAGACTTCCGCCCTGCCGTGGCGAGCGTTAGTCTGCTCCTGGCATTTGCCGTGGTTGCAGGCTTAGTCATGGGCCTGCCGATCACGTCAGGGACGCTGGCCCGCATCCTCGAGCTCTGCGTCGTGACAAGCGGCTGCATACTGCTCGCCATCCGCATCTTTTCACAGCTTCGCCGCTTGATGCTCCCGAATGAGCCTGCCGGACTACCCCAATATATGTCACCGAGGACGCGGCCTGCTTCGCCGAGGGCGGCAGCGGCTCGGGCGCCCGCCGACTCGGCCTCGTTGAAAGCGCTCATGACCGACCTGCTCCGAGAGCCGACTCTGCGCTTGTCGGCGCTGGGCGAGTCTCGCGATACGGATTCCCCAAGAGCGCCGGCATGGGCGTCGGGCTCCGCATCACGGTCTCCGCGATAGGCGAGTCACAGGCTGTTGCTACCCTAGACGCGCCGTTGGATTGCGCTGCATGGAGCATATGCACTCTGACTCACTCTGGCTTCAGGCTAGGCTTGGTGGCCTGGAGCTCATGTTCATGTAACATGTGTGATGACCCCCCCCCCCCCCCCCCCGCCCGCCCGCCCCTCCCCTGAGCCTGTGTGTGCGCTGCTTACCTTCGTGTGTCTACCATGTGCCTTGTGTGTACCCCCCCCATCCTGCATCCATGTTCCCGTGTGTGTGCGTCACGGATTTCTTTTGGACCGGATGCCAAGGACTGCCCGACTGGCTTATACACATTGGAGTGGGTCCGTTTGTGATTGTGTGTAAAGAGAAAGGCCGCTGCGAGCTGTATATTGAGCGTGTATGAGACTTGAGTCGTGAGAGAGCAACTCCGTAGACCGTACCTGATCACAAAACTCACATGAACTCGTAAAAAGAGCCCTATATGCAACCCATAGTCATAGTTTTCACTTTTGCGCTCTCAGATCATTTGACGAGAGTCAGGGGTCTCTGCAAGCAATACGCCCGGTGCTGATCAGCCAGCCCACGACGATGCCGATCGGGTTGATGACCACGACGGAAAGGAGGCTCAGGAGGCTGCTCGCGCTCTGGCGCAGGCTCAAGGGCACGCCCTCGGCGTCCCCGAGGTACCTGTACGCCATGGTGGTCACGTAGCCCTCGAGACCGCCGCATACTGTGATTGAGAGCATGTAGAGCAGCTGCCCTTGCCACGTCACCCAAAACGAGCGCGGTGTTCCAAACACGGCGCCACAGATGAAGGCGAGGCTGACGAGCTGCAAGAAGGTCAGAGCGTAGAAGGTCCGACGCGCGCACGGCGCCAGGGAGGAAATGAGCGAGCCAAGGGGCACCAGGACCCAAGCAGATGTGAGAGCCGTGCGGTTGACAAAGGCCCCCTGTGGGCCGTCACAGCCGCCGGGGTCGGTCATGCTGGCCCCAATCATCATCACGTTGACGGCAACGTCCCACTGGACCACCTGCACGAGCGTGCCCCCCATGACAGGGCCGAGGAGAGAGCGCGGGCACGCAAAGCCTCTCAGAGTCCAGCTGCTTGCTGGCTGGCGCTCCTCCTCCTCCTCTTCGCTCTGCTCCTTCTTTCCGTCCAGTCCCGAGCTCTGAACGTCGCCGCGCAGGCCCGCTCCTGTGCGAAGTATCCAGAGCCACGCACCACACGCTATCAGGGAGAGCATGGCGTAGGTGGCAAAGAGGAGGCGAGACGGGAAGCGATTCCTGCTCCCAGTCGGGTTCTGAAACTCTGCTGCTAGCGTGGTGATCAGCGACGAGAGGGGTCGGTATACGGTGTATCAATGAAGTGATGCACTTGATGCAAGGGTGCCATTGTGCTCTACTACAAAAGTTGTGTAAGATGCCCAAGTCTCAGACACTCAATCCTTAGCGGAGCTGAGTTCTGACGGTGTGAACACGAGCAACCGAAGTGACAACCGGGACCGGGCCGCACGCCGGGAGTGCCCCGACAGCCCGACTAGCAGTGACGGGCGCGGATGAGTGAATGAGAGGTCGCTATCAGTGGGAGATGTGTTGTTAGAGACTAGGACTGCCTATCTCTCGCTGAAAGGAACCTCTCATTCGCTCGTCCGCACCCGTCACCGCTCACGGAGTGCTCCGCGTGCCGCACCGGCCGCCGCCGGCCGCGGCCGCTTACGCGGTAACGGAACAGTGTTACTACTCCGCAACGTTGAGCTGGATCAAACTGAATAGTGCTCCTGAAAGCCCTCTCTCTGGGCTCTGCCACACAGAAGCAGCTCACGACTAGCAGCTGGTGTGGCTGTATTTGTAGCCATTTTTAGGCTTCAACTGGTCCCAAAATAGTAGCAACACCTCATGAAAATCAGTCAAAAAAGCCCCCAAAAATCGGCGCCTGCGGCGGGCTACCTGGGGCTGCAGCCCCAGACCCCCTTGACTGGGGGGACCCCCCCCAAGAGCACCCCCGTCGCCCCCGGGGGCCCGTCGAGACCCCAGGCTCCTGGCGAAGGGGTGCTCAGCGCTGTTGGAGCGGTGCACGGGTTTTTCTTTTTTCGCACAACTCAACCCTCTTCCGAGTATTTCATCCCCTTATCATAATTTTTACGAGGTCTTTGAGCTCGTGTCTGGTCATCGTACGTTTCGAAAAAAATTCGCGCGAGACCGAGCTCAGTCGCCCCATCGGCTGGAGCCGGCCACGGCGGTGTCCACGTCGCGCCGCTCCGACTCGCACTCCGCCATCAGGTTGCACTCGAACGCGTGCCTGTTCACAGCCACGCGTGTGAAGAGACGCGCTCACACCGCGCTGCGCCAGCCCACCTGCACGCGAGCGTGCCAGTGCCAGGTGGCCGCCGCGTCGCCCGCGCGGATGCGCCGATCGTACTCGCCCAGCAGCGAGCGAGCGTCGTGGCCGCTCTCGCCCACCGCCGCGGCAAAGGCGTCAAATTCTCGAAGCCGGCGGCGCGCGCCCGCCTCCTTGGCCTCGGCGGCGGCTGCATACGGCGCCCGCGAGTAGACGGCGTCGATCTCGGCCGGCAGGCTGCGGCGGTGCAGGGGGGGGCGAGGGCCGGCAGGCTGCGGCGGTGCAGGGGGGGGAGGGCCGGCAGGCTGTGGCGAAGAAGGGGGTCGAGGGCTGGCAGGCTGTGGCGGGGAGGGGGGACGCTCGATCATCTCGGCGGCCGTGCGCGCCTGAGGAAGACGCCACGAAGGATGAGGGCGAGGCAGCGCTGCGGAAAGTCGAGGGCGTACTGCAGCGCCAGCGTGGAGCCCCAGCTGCCGCCAAACACCAGCCACCGCTCGAGACCGAGCGCCTGCTCCCTCATCAGTCGACGTTAGCTTGAGCCGTCAGCCAGCGGCTGCACCTCCAGACCCGCGCCTCCCTCACCGCCTCGAAGTCGGCGCTCATCAGCGAGATGTCGATCTCGCCGTAGATGCGCATGTGCGCCGCCGACTCGCGCACCGACGGCGTCGACCTGCCCGTGCCTCGCTGGTCCACCTCCACCACAAAGAAACGCGCCGCGTCGAAAAACTCGCCGTTGATGTCTGCATAGTCGGCGACGCAGTTGCCGGGCCCTCCGTGCACAAACAGCACGGGGGTGCCAGCGGCGCGGCTGTCCCACGTGCGGTACCACAGCCGGACTTCGACTCCCTCCACCTCGCCCACCGCCACGGTGCCCTCCTCCGCCTCCCCGATCGGGACCACGCCGCCGCACCGCCGCACCGCCGCACCGCCCACCGCAGCCGCGCCGCCCTCGCCGCCCTCGCCTCTGCCCTGGTCCAAACGCGCCTCGTCGTCTTCGCCCAGCGAGCCCGCCGTCCCCGCCACGCCGCCGCCGCGCGCAGCCGCCGCCGCCGCGGCGCGAAGCATCTCGCCCTCGCTCAGCTCTTCCACCGCCCCGCCGCACGCGGGCAGCATCGCCGCGCCGCCGCCGCGGTGCGCCTCGTCCGCCAGCTCGGCGAGCAGGTGCTGCAGCAGCGCCAGCTGGCGGCGGCGCGGCACCGCCTCGAAGGGAGGCACGTGGACAAACAGGGTGGTGTGCCGACTCTGCGTGCTCTGCGCGCCCGAGCTGTTGTTGTGCGCGTGCGAGAGCCGCAGCGACTCGTACAGCGTGTAGTTGCACAGGTACAGGTACCTGCGGGTCAGGCAAGGGCGTCTTCGGGCGTCTGGCCATCCCAGCAGCAGCGCGGTGCCGGCCGGCGAGGGTGGGCAGACAATCTGCTTCTCGGCGCACCCACAGCGGCGGGCTCGTGGATAGGTTGCGGGCCCTAACGCCAACGCACCGGCCTGCGTCGTCCGAGACACGGATCTCCTCGGCCGACCTCGCAGCCAACGCATCCCGCAGAGAGGAGAGGGGCAGAGGGCTGCGGCGGCAGCCCCGCACGCCACGCGCGGCCGGCGCGGCGTCGATGGGCTCGTCCGTCGGCTGGCGGCCTCGCTCGTCCGCCACACGAAATGCGTTGTGTTGACGCCGGTGCGCTCGAGTGCAAAGCCGCGCCCTCTCGCGTCGACGCCAAGGTGCACGTAGATGACGCAGCCGGAGGAGTCGTCGCCGCTGTGCAGCCGCTGCAGCTGCGCGTCGACATCCTCGGTCGAAACCTCGAGCACTGCCGAGCGGAGCGGGACGCCGTGCGGAAGCCGCCAGCCGTCAGCGCCGCTGGCGAGCTCTCTCGCGAGCCAGTCGGTTGGGTTCTCTTCGACGTCGGCGAACGGGCCGAAGCCCGTCACGACGATGGAGCAGGACGGCGTGGCCATCGACCAGGCCTTCCTCCGAAGAGATTCGTGGAGAGAGTGAACTGGATGACTCTGCAGGTCGTCCTGCAGCGGCGGCGCAAACATCGGGAAAAAGAACACCCTGTACATCCGGGCAAAAGGTTGGTCCCTCCCTCCCTTGGGGTTTTATATGTTTTCTGTCTTTCTTTTTACGAGGATTGGCCTTCCTTACGCGTGCCGCTCCGCGGCCGCGGCGAGGCGCGGCGAGCGGCGCGGCTCCTTGCGCGCCTCGGCGTCGGCCGCGCCGCCGCCGGCGTCGGGCGCGCTGCTACCGCTGCCGGCGGCCGCCGGCGCAGGCGACAGCGGCGGCTCGCGCGCGCGCTTGCCGAGCAGCTGCTTGAGCTTCGCCTTCGCCTCCGCCTCGCTCATCGCGTCGACGGCGTCGACCTCCGCGTCGCGCGCCGCGGCGGCGAGCGCCGTCGAGGCCGCCTCCTTCAGCTCCTGCGCGCGGGGAAAGGAAAGGGAAGGAGGCACGCAGCAGTGAGGGAGGAGCGGCTGGGTGCTGCCACACTGTCTGTATGAGTACATACGGAGCTCGTGCGGAGCGTCGTACCTGGACGGAGGTGGCGCCGGTGAGCTCGAGGGTGTGGATGGCGTTGCCGTCGAGCGTGCGCAGCGTCACGCGCTGCCGCAGCGCGGCGAGTGCGGCGAAGTCGAGCTGCCCCGACGTTTCGTGGAACATGCCGCCGCGGAGCCGGAGCACCAGCTGGAGCGTCGACTCCTTCTGGACGTTGTAGTCGACGAGCGTGCCGTCGTCCTCCAGCTGCATGCCGGCGAATGAGATGCGCTGCTGATCCGGCGGGATGCCCTCCTTGCCCTGGATCTGCTCCTTGACCTCCGCGATGGTGTGGTTCGGGTGCAGCGCCAGCACGAGAATCTTGCCGGTCAGCGTCCTGCAGAAGATCTGCATGCGATGCGGGTCGTGCCGTGGGTCGTTGGCCGCCGCGTCCGCCAACAACAGCACTCGCGGGAGCACCAGGTGCAGCGTCGACTCCCTCTGGATGTTGTAGTCGGAGAGGGTGCGGCCGTCCTCCAGCCGCCTGCCGGCGAAGATGAGGCGCTGCTGGTCGGGCGGGATGCCCTCCTTGTCCTGGAGCGTCGCCTTGACGGCCTCAATCGAGTCGGAGGGCTCCACCTCCAGCGTGACCGTCTTGCCCGGCAGGAACTTGACGAAGAGCTGGATGCGCATGCCGCCAGGTCCGCGCTCAGAACCGGGGCGGCCAGACGCCTTCGGCAGCTGCTGCGGTGGTGCGAGCCGCGCTGCCTGATCCGGGACACGCCACGCCTGCTCCGGGACACGCAGGTCGAGCAGCTCGATGCATCGGCCGACCCGGTTCAGCAGCTCGTCCAGCTCGCTCAGCCGCCTCACGCTGCTGCCCGCGTCGTCGACGCGCACGCTCGTGGAGCGGCCGAAGTACTTCACGAGCAGCGCCTGCTTCTCGACTGGCACGCCGTAACAGGATATCTTCTGGTTTAAGAAATATTCAGGTGTTTTAGAAATTCGTTGCTCGGCGGCAAAACTGTGCCAAAAACCGGCGGCCGGTGTGCTAGTCGCAGCGCGGCGGCTACCGGCCATGGCGTCGGACGCGCAATACGAAGCCCTTTTCGCGCTCGACTTCGAGGAGGAGGCTCAAGGTGTGGAGGAGACGCCCTCTGAGACGTCCTCTCAGGAGGTGACGATGAAGGAGCTGTGGCGAGCGGCGGATGCGGACTCGCCGAGCCCCGAGGCAGAGGCTGCTGCTGGCGACGAGGCGCGCGAGTCCGCTCCCGCTGCACCGGGCGTCGAGCCTGCCGCCAAGCCGCTACCGGCCTGCGCGTCGGATACGTCGGCACCGGCCACGCCCCCAGCTGCGCCTGCGGCCACGCGGAGCCTCGAGCCAACCGCCGCAGAGGCTGCTGCTGGCGGCGAGGCGAACGATAAGGGCAGTGGCGAGGCGAGCGAGGCGAGCGAGGCGAGCGGCGAGATGACTGCAGCCAATTTCGAGAAGGCATACGCGTCGATGCCTGAGCCGTTTTGCAACCAGCTCGCGACCTCGGCCTTCCAGCCACGGTGAAGTGTTGGCAAAACAAGACACAGAGCTCACACAGAATCACAGCGGGAGGAAAGCGGCGAGTCGCAATTCCTGGGGTCCTTGTGGCGGGCCACCCTGTCCAGAGAGGCATGGATGCCAATCTGGGGTCTTTCGACCGAGTCTATGAGCCCTGGCCGCTCCCTTGATCGCAGTTTCTTCGGAAAAACTGTTATCTCGACATTCACTAAGCTGTCAGTGGAGAGACCACTTCACAGCTGTATGCCTTGCTCCTTTAGGTGCTCTGTGCATCTCTGACTCTTCCGCATGAGACCGCCTGAGTAACATCAAAGAGATATATTCCCGTTTCGTGCACAAAGAGCACAAAGGTGGCACCCTCGGCCAGCTGAAGCTCTCGACTCGTCCACCTTGCTCTGGACTATGCCGACCTCAAACCACCAGCGCCAGCAACGACGTGCCGCGGCTCGCCACGCATCTGTTGCGACCGACGACGTGCCCGACGCCGTCCCGCGGCCGCCAGGAAGAGGCCCGCGCAACCACTTCTGGGACCCGCGGCCGCCGGGCGTGTGGCGGCACAACGAGTCGAACGAACCGAACCAGCGCAGAGCGGCGCGTCTCACGAGCGCCCGCGGCCGCCACGCCGCCGCCGTCCGCGGCCGACGGTGGTCGCGAATCAACGCGGCGCGGTGCACCGCTGCGCCTGTCCTTCCGCGCCGCTGGACGTCGGCCGAGAAGACCGCTTCCCTCTGGGGACCCGACTCCGCGAAGATCGCGCGCGCGTCGTGAGTGGCGGCGCGCGCGCGATCTCTGTTCCCGGGCACGCCGGTCGCAGTGGCATGGGATCCCAGGCTCAAAAGCGCTCAACAGCGAGCTGCTCCTCCTCCTGCCGCCGCTCCGCTCACCGAGACAACTCGGTGCCGCCGTTCTCGCCGCCGCCGCCGCCGCCGCCGCCTCGCGCCTTGCCTCCGTCACCGCCGCCCTCCATCTCGCAGCGGCGCGTCCCTCTGATGGCGCGGGCTCCTCGCTCGTTGGCGCCTCGCCGCCGCCCCCCCTCTCGCCGCCGCTCCGCTCGTGGCCGCCCCATCCCCTGTCAATCCCGCCGCCTCCCCTGTCGATCCCCCCCACCGCCGCCACCGCCTCGCGCGTTTAGCGGGCCTTTAAGCTTAGGAATCCTAACTAGAGGTAGGGTGCCCACAGGACCCAAAAGAAAATAGCTTTCCGCCTCAAAAAGGGACGCACGAGGCAAATCTGATGTTGGAGTGTTCCAATAGGAGCGAGGCCTCTTCCGTTGGGGGACAGCCTATAAAGAAAAGAAACGCAATGTCGAAGGTGCCACCTTATCAACCACAAAAATAGGCCCGCGCGTGCTGCGCGGGCCCGGCGAGCGACTAGCGAGCCAACCTGCTAGTCTGATATAAGAGGGCTCCCGCGCCGGCGATCAACACCGCAACTCCTTTTCTAAATTTCACCACTCTTCTTACGCGCGACGACGCTACAGCCTCCACCAAACCTCACACTTTTACTCACCCTCGGACATGCTTGCACCGTCATCCTGCGCGTCTGATGCGTCGCGCATCTGCTCGTCAGGTAAGGTAAGGTAAGGTAAACTTCTCCACACACACGAGGTGGTGGGGCAAGGGGGGGCAACCCTCGCGTCTCCACGTCTGACGACAGGAGCCCCACGGCATTCAAAGTGCAAGGCCCGGTGCGCGTGGGTGAGCGGTGTGTGTGTGTGTGTGTGTGTGTGTGTGTGTGTGTGTGTGTGTGTGTGTGTGTGTGTGTGTGTGTGTGTGTGTGTGTCACGTCACTGCATCCTCCGCCGGTTCCTCCCGTCGCCTCTTCTTTGTTCGAATGTTTTTCAATCCATCCTTCACGAAGCCCTCCCATGTAGCTAGCGTTCTTGGCGAATGTCTCGAAATGGCCAGCAGGCGCTGTCTGCTCGCGGTCTGTGCGGGCCGCTCGTCCTCCTCGCCCTTCTTTCGTCCTCCCGTCCCTCCCCTCCACCATGGCCTTCTCGGCACTTCTTTCTCCATCCGCCTCGCCCTGCCTTTTCGCATCGTGCCGTTCGCCCTCCATTCGGTGACCTCCATGGCTGTCCGCCCCTTTTTGGGTGGCGCTCTCGATACGGTTGCGTCAACCTCGACGTCGCTGTCGCCCTCCCCGTCCCCGCCGGCGTCCGTGCCTCGGTTCGCGTCATCGGTAGCGTCTCCGTTGTTCCCTCGTGCCCCGCCGTCGCCCTCTCTGCTCGGGCCGTTAGCGATTTCGCTCCTCCTGCGTGTCGCCCCTCCGTCCCCTCCCCTTTCTTCGTCGTCATCGTCGCTGTCGCGAAAGCCCTCCGGTCCCTCGATTCCCTCGCCTATCCCCTCCGCTGCGTCGTCCCAGTTTATATCCTCATCCTCTGCGCACGTCGCGTTGGCTTCCTCTCTCCCCCTTTCCTCCCTGCCCCTCTCGCTGTCTGGTGTTAATGGACCCCCTTCCTCTCCCCCGCCACCGTCACCGTCTCCATCCCCGTCGCTACCGCCCTCCATGCCCGCCGCCCTTTGTTTCACACTCGTCTCTGCCATGTCCGCCGTCGCCGCCGTCCTGTCTGCTGCGCTCCGTGCTCCGTGGTACAGTCGCTTATTGTTGTTCAGGATTAGCTCACGCACCAGGACAGCCTCCTGCTCGTTATTTTGGCTTGCCGATATGCATCCAAAGTTCCACGCTAGCTCCTCCTTCGTCACGTCTATCTTTTTGCAGTATCTCGCGAATGCCGTCCGCGCTTGCTGGGGTGTTATTGCGTTCGGATCCGCCCTGGTCCCCGCCCTGTATCCCATCTCCTTGCGGTGGCTCCTGTATGAGTCCCCATATGACCATGTGATTTCTTGGCCTTCCTTGACTCCCCTCTCTGCAAACAGGACCATCACCTGCGCAGCTGCCTTGCCTAATTGTATCTCCTCGTAGCGTACGAAGTGCGTCGCCCTCGTGCCTCGTTTCGGCTCATTCGATGCTGCAGGCCAGTCGAAGTTACACCGCGCCGCGACGCTGTCAAAGTCGTCCCCGCTCTCGTCGTCACTTCCATCCAGCTGCGTCCCCCCTGCTGCCGTGTGTCGTGATAGTTCGTCTGGTACTGTCTCTGGTGGCTGCGCCGTTCCTGTCCGGAAGATCTCCCCAGTGTAGATGCTACACACCTCAAATTTCTCTAGCCTCCTCGTCGCCAGTAGGCCGAGTTCCCCTTCCGCTATGCTAGAGGGGCCTACCTTCGCCCCTTCCACCGTGCCGCCCGTCGTTAGCATGGCCGTCGTTACTTTCGCCGCCGCCTCTGCTGCTTGTCGGCGGAGCGCCTCGCGCCTTCCCTCGTCTCCATGCTCCTGGTCTTGTTCTTTTTGTTTTCCTGCGCTTCCTGTCGCTGGTCCGGCGACGTATCTTGCCGTCTGCCTTCGCTTCCTGGCGGGCCGCGTTTCCTTCCCCTCGTCCCGTCTGTTTTCTCCTGCGTGGTCGCCCTCGCGTGCGCCGCTCGCCGTCTGTTCTCCTCTCTGCTCGCCGTCCTCGTCCCCTCGCTGTCGTCGCTTCCCTCCGGCGCTCGCCGCATCGTCGTTCCTATCACCGCGTTTCCTGCGCTGGCCTTCGCCTTCGAGCTCGCAGTGGGTCGTTTTGAGTGTCATCCCCATCGCTCTCGTCGTTCTGCTCGTCACCCTCTCCGTCACTCGCGTCGGCGGGCGACCGGGCTGTGGGTGCGGCCTGCTTCTTTCTTGCGCTCGCAGCGCCGGCGCCACGGCGCCGTTTGCGTCCGTCCTTTGCGCTTCGCTTGGCAAGCTCGCCCGCAAAGTACGCCGCGCGCGCGGCATCCCAGACGCCCTCCCCGTCGGCGTAGCCCGCCTCCCAGATGGCGAGCACGGGGTTGTGCTTGAGCTTGCGCAAGTGGGCGCTCTCTTTCTTCGGGTCGAAGCCCACCACGTAGACTAGCTGCGGCTGCCCGGCGCACGGTCTTGGCGACCGCCGGCGCTGCGCGCCGGTCGTGCTGCTCACGCTGCCGGCGGCGCTGGTCGCGCGCCTGCCGATCGCGCGTGTTCGCGGCGGCTGCATCTCCTGCTCGTTTCGCTCGCACCCGAGCGGCTGTCGCCAGGCGCTTCAGGTCGGCGGTGCTGCGCGCGCGGCCGTCGGCCAGGCACAGCCACATGTCCTCCTCCTCGGCAGGCTCGCACGGCTTGCCGTCGAACTGCGGCTGGCGCCCGCGACGATGCTTCGCCCAGGCCGGGCACGATGGTGCCGCGACGAGCGGCGTCGAGGCGACGGCCATCGATGGGTCCAGAAGACTTGGAGACACTTCTCGACCAAAAAATCAAAAAAATCGAGCACAATTGCGTTACATGGCCCGTTCTTGTCAAAGAAAGATTCCAAATTTATCAGCTAAATCGCGGCTGCGAGAGACGAGAGGAACGTTTGTGAAGCCCTCCGATGCGAAATAAACCAACGTCGAAGCCGGCGGGCAGAAAACGCGGGCCGGGGTTTTTGCTCTCATCTGTTGAAACGAGTCGAGTAGCAGGTCGGCGCGGAGCGGCGAGGCCCCGTCGCCTCGGATGAAGCCGTCGAGGCGCAAGTCCTCCAGCGCGCGAGTCGGGAAATCGAGGTCGACTGGGAGCGCCGGGTTGGTGCCCACCGGGCCGACCGGCGGCGCCCCGTGCGGCGGCCATGGGGCGCCTGATGGCGGCCGCGAGATGTCGATCCGGACGGTGACCACCTCAAACGGCTTCGGGCCAAACCCGTGCGTGAGGGGCGCGCGGTGCTCCCAGCGCGAGTAGTGCAGGAGCAGGCGCTCGAATGGCAAGCACTGAGACACGTCGACCTCGAAGGAGAAGGCGCAGATAATGTCGAGCACGTCCTGCGGCAGCTCGATGAAGGGGTTGCGGCCGGCGGGGTAGTCCTCGTCCCCGGGCCCCATGATCATCACCAGGCGCGGGGACTCGAGAAAGGGGCCCACGTCGGCAGGGCACCGGGCAAACTCGCGCCAACGCGGGTGCGGGTCCGTGCTGTTGAACATCTTGTCCGCGGGGATGGCAGAGATGTCCCAGGTAGTCTTGCACAGGCCCTGCAGCGTCCTGCGAGAGCAAAGGAGGGTCGGTTTCCGCGGTAGCGGCGGGCCGCTGCACAGGCGTGGGGCGCACACCGCCGCCGGTAGACGACCTCGCTGCGCTGGGCTTTGAGGTTGTAGTCCTCGAGCGCGCTGAGCGACGCCACGATGATCTGCCGGCCGCTACGAGCGTCGGTGTCCTGCTGCTTCAGCAGCTTGCACGTGGACACGGGCGCCGGGCCGCCGTACCACGGTTCGAGCGCGCCGAGACTGTAGTTGTCGGTGCACCAGGCGACCTTCTCGCCGGGAAAGAGCTGCTCCTCCTTCTCTACAGTGACGACGGGGAGGCGGCCGGCGCGGTTGCACTCGCGCGTGTACTTGACCAAGCTCTTGCACTGGCGGAGCGTCGGGGCGGCGTGTTTCGCCCACTGAGCGTTGCCAACATCTTCGCCTTCCCACACGAACCGCTTTGACCCCTCGAAGTCCTGCGGGCTGTCGTACGGCAGCGTCATGCTCGCGGCCGCAGCGCGTAAATTTTGTGTCACGCTCAAAATTTTCACGCGCAGCAACTTCTTGACAAGACCCACACGTATATAGTGTGGAAGATGTTGGAGCGCTGCTTAGTCAAATGCTTCTGCGTTGTTTTTTTGACAAGAACGGGCCATGGCCGGGGTTTCTGCACCGAACGATCTTACTTTCGGTCTATCGAAAGTGTTGATCGATAAAGATCTGGGCCTTCCGCTCCTAGACGGTGGGTTCCCCCCATGCTCGCGCTGCTCCTGCCGGCCTATTCCGCCCAGATCTTCGCCAGCGCGGCCAAGGACCCCGGCCTCAAGGACGTCTTCGCTTTTAAGGGCGAGGGCTTTGGCCCAAAGCGACTGCGGCTCGGCAATACGTCGATCAAGAACGCCAAATACAAGAAGAACGACGGCGAAGTCCCGACCTGGATCGCCGGCGTGCCATTGTCACGGACCGCTGCTCCGCCGCATCGAGGATCGGACAGCGCAGCTCTCACTCTCTATAGGCAAGCCTCCGATCGAGACGCTGATGCAAGTCTCGGCCGACTGGGCTCTGGCGGACCAGACCCGAACCTTCTGCCTCCTCGTGCTGGACATGGAGAATGACTACCTCCCGTGCGCAGCCCGCACTGACGCCCGCGCCTTCGCTCGTCTCACTCGCTCTACCCTCTGCGGAGCCTCGCACACAGCCGCGCAGCGCCGCTGCCAGCGCACACAGCCGCAACGCACACAGCCGCGCAGCGCCGCTGCCAGCTCCCGCGCCCTCCGCCTGCCCCGCAGGTATACATGACTTTTATGATGCCGAACGCCGAGGCGGTGCTCGCCGCCTTCCGCAAGGCGCAGCAGCCGGTCGTGTGGACCAACTGGTACCGGCAGGAGGACGACGGCGCGTACGGTGCGTGTGCTCGGCACACCGCCTCCGTGGGTCCGAGGGCGCGTCCACGACGCGTCCCTGACGCGTCCACGACGCGCCCGCAGGAGCCATCGACCGCTTCTGGGGCCCTCGCGGCCTGTACCCGCCGGGAGGCACCGTCAAAGGGCACGCCGAGAACCCGTTTGGATCGACACGAGGTACAGCAAGAACGCGACCGACACGGCGGGCTGCGCGGCGGTGGCTGGTCCGCACACGGCACGAGAGCAGCGCGGCCGGAGCCGAGGGCTGGCGTGTTAGGTGCCAGCGATGGGACCGATCACGGAGGACGAGAAGTCGCTCGTCAGCAAGTCGATGTGAGATGAGCCGAGATCAGCCGAGATGAGCCGAGACCGGTCCATTTGGCGCAGACCCGACCGCTGGCATGTTGCGACTCACGCAGCGGACGCCACTCTCCACGAAGGTGTCTGCGAAAGGAGGTCGGCCGTCCCTCCTTCCCTCCGACCATGCCGCCCTCCCCGCCGCAGGCACCTCTCCAAGATGGCCGACAAGGACGAGCACGGAGACGACATCCTCTACCCGATGCTGCAGGCGTGGGGCGTCGACACCATCGTTATCGTCGGCGCGTGGACCGAAGACTGCGTCATCGCGACCTGCTACGAGGCGGCAGACCGCTATGGTCTCGACGTCGTCCTCGTCACCGACGCCATCGCAACGGGCTCGCCGGTGCACCAAAAGGCGATGGACACGATGCAGGCGGGGAGGCCGCCGAGATGGAGCCGTCGCCCATTTTTTGCAGCCGATGGCAGCGCCGAGTTGCGGCAGCCGTGCCCCTCCTCACCAGTGCCTCCCTCCCTGCCCAGGCCGCCTGCGGCAAGACGCTGATGGCGGAGGAGCTGGTGCAATACTTCGCGAGCCACCGGCACAAGCTCGGCCCCGCGCAAGCCGAGCTCAACTATGGCGCCGTTCAGCTGCGCCGCCGCGCCGCCCTGCTGAGCGCCGCGCAGGCCGAGGCGCGCGGTGGCGAGGGCATCTCGGTGGCGGTCGCCGCGGTGATCGCGCTGACGGCGGCCGCGGTCGGCGCAGCGATCGCCGTCCGCGTCTTCGTTCGTCACCCGCTCTCCCACAGCTACGAGAACAGCCCCGTGCCACTCACCTAACTAAAGGTTAACGCAAGTGCTCGCACTGGCGGGAATTTTGATGGGAGCGCTCGTAGGACATGCGCATGTCCTTTAAAATCCCATCTCGTGATCTAGTCTCAGAGTTTTACCGTTTTCATTCTTTTACCCGCTAACGGCATGGTGCATGGTGCGCAGACATCTCTCATGTATATCGTCTCTCCGCATCTGACAAATTGATACAGGAAAAGATAAAAGAACGGGCGGCGCACCGCCGGCGTGTAGGCAGCGGCGGCCTAGAGCGAGAGGCGGCGCAGTCGCGCCAGTCGGCCGCCGCGCAGGAGCACGGGCGCTTCGCCTCACCCGCCTTTGCTCCCGTCCCCTCGCTGCCGCCCCTCGCCACCGCTGCCCCTCCCCTCCCCGGCCGCTCCTCCATCAAGCAATGCTACCGTCAGTACTACACAGCGGGGCGACCGCCCTCTCCAGGTAGGCTTGCCGCTCATTGGCAATCAAGCCGTACCATTCGTAGAATGGAACGCTGATCACCCTCCAGCCAGCTGCCGTGAGGAGGCGCCGCTTGAGCAGCGTTGGCCCATTGGGTCTGCGCACGCCCCGGCCGTCGGGCAGCAAGAAGTGAGACGGGCCGTCCACCTCAACGCCGACGCGTGTCGAGGGCAGCGCCAGGTCGAGAGAGTAGCCGGTGCGCGGCTCGAGATGCTCCTCCTCGAAGCCGTGCTGGACGGCGGCGAGGGCAGCCGCGACGGAGCGCTGTAAGCGCGAGATCGTAACTTCAGTGCCTTGCATGGCGTCGCAGCAGAGCTTGCGCTGGGACGCGGAGAGGAGGTGCTGCTGCCCGTCTGCTCCTCGCTCAAGGGAGAGCCAGAGCTGCCACTGGTGCAGCTGACGGCGGTCCTCCTCGCTCCATATCGAGGGATCCCGCGCGAGCGAGTCGCTGATCACGCGCGAGCAGTCGGCAAGCAGCGCCTGGTGATAACAGTCTGCCGTCGCATACGCCCAGACCGTGTTGGACAGCTCCTGCGGCTTGAAGCCAGCCAGCCCGCTGCGCACCGCCGCCTCCGCCACCGCCGCGTACAGCGCGTCCGCTGCCACGCCCGCCGTCGCATACGCCCACACCGTGTTGGCCAGGGCCTGAGGGCTGAAGCCAGTCAGCCCGCCGCGCACCACTGCCTCCGCCACCGCCGCGTACAGCGCGTCCGCTGCCACGCCCGCCGTCGCATACGCCCAGACCGTGTTGGACAGCGCCTGTGGAGTGAAGCCAGCCAGCCCGCCGCGCACCGCCGCCTCCACCACCGCCGCGTACAGCGCGTCCGCTGCCACGCCCGCCGTCGCATACGCCCACACCGTGTTGGCAAGGTTCTGAGCGTTGAAGCCAGTCAGCCCGCCACGCACCGCCGCCTCCGCCACGGCCGCGTACAGCGCGTCCGCAGCCACGCCCGCCGTCGCATACGCCCATACCGTGTTGGACAGGGCCTGAGGGTTGAAGCCAGTCAGCCCGCCGCGCACCACTGCCTCCGCCACCGCCGCGTACAGCGCGTCCGCTGCCATGCCCGCCGTCGCATACGCCCACACCGCGTTGGACAGCGCCTGTGGAGTGAAGCCATCCAGCCCGCCGCGAACCGACGCCTCCGCCACCGCCGCGTACAGCGCGTCCGCAGCCACGCCCGCCGTCGCATACGCCCACACCGTGTTGGCCAGATCCTGAGGGTTGAAGCCAGCCAGCCCGCTCCGCACCGCCGCCTCCGCCACCGCCGCGTACAGCGCGTCCGCAGCCACGCCCGCCGTCGCATACGCCCACACCGTGTTGGCCAGCTCCTGCGGCTTGAAGCCAGCCAGCCCGCTCCGCACCGCCGCCTCCGCCACCGCAGCGTACAGCGCGTCCGCAGCCATGCCCGCCGTCGCATACGCCCACACCGTGTTGGCCAGGTTCTGAGGGGTGAAGCCAGCCAGCCTGCTGCGCACCGCCGCCTCAGCCACCGCCGCGAACAGCGAGCGCACCACCCTTGCTTGCAGGCCGCACTTTGCAACGCCGTGAGACACGTTAGCCAGCTCGCGTGCTCGGCACGAAGAAACCAGGTCGAGCGTGCGCTGCACCAGCTGCTCAAGCCGCTCCTCGTGCCGCCGCTCGATGCGCTGCTTGCCCAGTTTGTTCCACAGGTTCGCAGCGTGGATGTGGTTCAAGCTCGTGCTGTGGGCAGCAAAGAGCGCGAGCAGTGCGTCAGCGCTGCCAGCCTGGGAGATGGATGCGGTCAATTTGAGAGGGTCGACCTGGCCACTACCGTCAGCACAGCGGCTAGACGAGGGTCGCTCATTGCGCATTAGTGCGTCGTGGCTCTGCCGCTCGTCATTGAGGATCGGCAGACCCATCCGGCGATTGCTGTGCTGATGAGGCTGCCACTGGTGCTGGTACTGGTCGCGCCGGCCATGGTCGAGCCTGGGATCGTGGTGCCAGTCATCATGCCGATTGCAATAGTCGCGCTCGCCTCTGCACCGACAATCGTCGTAGCCGCGCCGATCGTCCTGCCGCCCGTCACTATGCGGCCATTGTTCGCCTCGCCAATGCTTGTTGTGCCATCGCTCAGCGGGCCAACGCTCATCGCGCCATCTCAGCTCGCCCCGCCATTGCTGCTCGCCGCGTCTGCACACGTCGCGCCGTTGCTCTTCACGCCAGCGACGCTGCGGCTCGTCACGCCAGCGGAGCTCCTCGCTTCGGAACATGCGCGGGAGGTCTTGTCCGAACGTAAAAGGAAAGGAAGAATTTAAACAAGACAACTCTCTCTCACAGCACACAGGCTCGACACAGGTGCGAACTGGCGCGTGCTAGTACTATCACCGGCACACCACCGGAGCCGAAAAAGAAAAAGGCGGCGAAACGATTGGACCATGTGTGAAAGGACAGAAAACGTTCGGATCGCTCCTCATCGCAAACCCTGTCAAGGATGATTTCCCCCTCGAAAATGCTGCGAAATGAGGCGTAAAATCAAGGGCCCGGAGGGTCTGACCACGAGTCTCTGGGGGGGTCCTCGGCCACGACCCCCCCCCTAGCATGTGGTGAAGGTGCTGGGGGGGGCGGGACCCCCCCCCTAGCATGTGGTGAAGCCTCTGGGGGGGTCGGACCCCTCCCCTAGCATGTGGTGTGAGCAGAAGCACGCCCCCCTCCCTGGAAGCGATGTGCGCCTGCTCTCGGGCTCAGAAGGGCTGGCGCCGCGCCCGCCCCGAGTCACCATCTCGACGCAAGGGGGGAGAGTCTGCGGGTCATTTGGAAGCGCAACCACTGACACGAGCTTGTACCCCCGCTTGGCCATCTCTGACGCAATCTCCTTCGTGTGCACCGCGTAGACGACGTCATTCGGGCCCTGAAAAAATTTCGTGCGGTCCCATGGCGGCCGTTCTTGAATGATCGGGCGCTTGTTGGCGCCGCCGCCCGTGTCCACCTCGACCATCAGACCGGCGCACTCCATATGCTGACTCCACGCAATTCGCGCGTTCTCGGCCTTGAAGTCCTCGATACGTTCGGGAATGAAAGTCGCAGTCATCACGCCGAACCGCTGCAGCAGTGCCACGATGCCCGCATCCTCGCCGAGCGGCGCCATGCTCTCCGGCACCTCACTCTGAATCTGAGCGTCGCGAGCAAACCTCGCGTCGGTCGGCGTGGCAGGCTCCTCCTCCATCGGTATGCGCCTCCCGTGATGCCGCCGTTTCCTCACTGGTGGTGACTGAGACGCGGGCGGGCTCCCGCCCTCGCCTCCCGGTCGCTGACGGCGGACCGCGGCCCCCCCACCAAAGCCTGATTGCAGCAACTGAGCTGCATCGACCCGCTCGGGTGAGGGGAGCAGCCCCGCGCCGCTCCCCCGGCCGCCGGTGGCCCTCCCCTGCCTCCTCTCCCCCCGCATGCCCTCGTATAACCGTACGCCAGACGGACGGACCGTACTTCCCCAGCCGGTGGTTCTGGCACGGGCCTGTTGGTTGTAGTACTATCTATTAGTAAACCCGGCGGTTTAGGTGTGTTTCTTGTTTTGCGTCGGGTTTCTTTTTTCGCCTCTAACGTTTGGAAGGAATAACAGGAATATTTTTTTCGCGTCAAATCCGCCATGGCCCATGTGGCGCCCGCCGACGCTCCGTTTGCGTTTTGGTGGCGTCCGCGGCGAGCCACGCCAGCAGGCGGCCGCGGCCACGCACGCGTCTGACCGCGCAAAGGTCCGCACGGCGAAGTTGAGGAGACTCTCTTGCACGCCTCGCAGCCGCCCGTCACAGCAAGGCCGACGCCACCTCCGCCATCTGACGCGATGTCCCAAAACGTCAGATCTGGCTCACCCAGGGCTGGACCTAGTCTCACGTCGGCCGGGGCACCACCCACTACGCACTAGCTGCATGATCACCTGAATAAGTAAGTCCGAGAACAAGTAACACCTGAATAAGTACGTACTCGTAACGTCCAAAACAAGGCCGCGACTGCCGTCCCCCGGGCCCCTACCCCGGCACCGCCGGGCTCGCCCGCCGGGCACGGGGAAGTTGCGAAGGGCAAGTGGAGTGCGGGAGGTACGACTGGGCCGGCGAGCGGGGGCGCGTGGCGCCCTTCATAGAACCTGTCCTTTTAGCTAGGACAAAACTCTTTTTAAAAGGACACATGGGGCTATCCGACTGGCGCGCCGACTCACATAGTCACGGGTCGGATGATCTAGAAACACAGTCCAGAAGCGCATGCAGCCGGGAGCGGACCTCGACGAATGAGAGCGTGCCCTTGACGAGAACAAGATCGACTTCGGCCATCGAGGCCAGCCGGGAGGAGTTCGCGAGCGACTCGCCCGACAAGATGCAGATGCGCCCGCGGTAGCCGCGCTGACGTAGCTGCACAGCGATCTCCGAGCCGCGGAACGTCTGCATGGGGCTTAAGTGCAAGTTTTCGTCCAAGATGATCAGGGCGACGTCTACGTCGCCGTCCGTCGCGACTGCAAGCAGCCGGTCGACGCTGGCCGCCCCATCCTCACCCAGAACCGCCGAGTCGGGATGGACGTCGAGGGCCTCCAGCACTGCGGCCAAATAGGCGCGCATGAAGGCGTCGTCGTCCAAGGCGAGGCAGCGGTGAGACGAGAGCGCGGCTGCTGCCGCGGATGCGGAGTCATCCGTCGAACGAGGAGGGCTCACGCCGGAGTCCGCACGAGGCGCCTGCGCACCTTCTAACACCGCTGCCTCTGCCTTGCACAAGGACGCAGGGACCACCATGTGTAGCCGAGTATGGTTGCGCGCCTCCGCGTCCGTGAAGGAGGAGAGTCGGGCGCTGCCGCCGACCGCATTGCACGCGCGCAAGATCGTGTCCAGCCCCAGGCCATCAGACAAGAGCCGTCTCTGCCCATTGCTCCCGTCCGTCGCGACCCGCTTGGAGCCGCGGCCCATCAGGGACGTGCACTCGTCCGGAGAGAGGCAGCACGTGCCCGGGCGGTCGAGCGAGTCCACGTACACGTGGAGCATGCGCGGCGCGGTGGCGGCGTTGGCGGCCGCCGAGGAGGCGGCGGGCGCATAGGGGCTGTCATCGAGTAGGTAGAGGCGGATGCGCGTAGGCTCGGACGGCTCGCTGTACTTGGCGATATTCGAGAAGGCCTCCTCCAAGCAGAGCATCAGAATGGACGGGTCGATCAGCAGCTCGGCGGGGCAGCTCGGGCTACGCGTGAGCTCAATGGCGCGGACCGCGGTGCCCTCCCGGGTCGGCCTGCCCGCGACGCGCGTGATGAGCTCGTCGAGGCTCGTCGGCACCGCCGCACTCACGTACAAACCGCTCTGCAGCTGCACGAAGAGCTCGCGCAGGTGGCACCACTCGGAGCACTGGTAGAGGATCGACGAGACCGTACGCAGCTGCGCCAGGATCTCGTCGGACTGGGCCGCAAACGGTGGCGCTTCGCCGGTGCGTTTTCGCAGCGTGTCTTCTAGCGTGTCTTCTATGCGCTTGGTGATGAAGGTGGCGGCACAGGCCTTGTTCTTGATGACGTGGTTGAGGCGCGAGTCGCCCACGCGCTCGGCCTCCGCGCGCTGGCGGAAGTGGAAGGAGTTGCGGCACTGACGCTCGAGCGCGGAGCCGAGGGTGATGGAGGCCGTCATGGTGATCAAGAGGCAGGTGAACTCTTGGACCTCCGAGGGCGTCGTGAAGGAGGGCATCAGGACGTTGACGCTGAGAGTGATCGCGTGGATGGCGTGCAGCCGCGCCGGCGTGAGGTAGATGGTGTGCAGCCATAGGAAAAACTCGGAGAAGAGCAGCCAGTAGTAGGAGCCGAGGGAGGGAATCGCCAGGAGGTGCTCTCGATACAACGAGGCGACGACGTTCGCGATTGATGGCGTGGTCGCGGCCACCCAGAAGGCGAAGTTGGCGCCGAGTTGGTGCGCCCGGTCGCGGTCCGCCATGAGCGATAGGTGGCGCCAGAAGATGCCGAGGGAAGCGGTGGAGCAGAGCGGGACGAGCATAAGCCAGACGGCTACGGGGCAACAGGCGATGACAAACACGGAGGAGACCGCCACTTGGCAGTGAATGGATTGCGCCAGTGCGTAGGACTCGTGGAAGGCGTACGCCCGGAACTCTACCCCCTCCTCGCCGCCAGTGTCGAAGAAATGCAGCAGCAGGCGCTCATATGACATGACTGTTTATCTGGTAGTTTCCTTGATCTGTCGGGGATAATCACGGTTTATCTCTCATGAGGTTGGATATCAGCGTTTTATCTCTCTCTCTCTCTCTCTCTCTCTCTCTCTCTCTCTCTCTCTGTGTGTGTGTGTGTGTGTGTGTGTGTGCGAGAATAGATAGCTCCGCCGTTCATGGAGGCAACCGATGCGAACCAAAAACTTGCGAGTCGACTGGTGTGTGTCGTCGTGGTTTCGAGAGAGAGAGATTTTTAGCAATACCAAACAACTCTAACACTCACACGTAATTTGGGGCCTGGAGCCCTTATCAAGAATGAATACTTCCTAACGTAACATAACATCGGACGCTTCACCCTCAAGGCGTCGACCGCGCTCAACCACGTCGCCCGTGGCTGCGAGCCCTCGGTCACACGAGAGCCGCTCGAGGACGCACCACACAAGGGGCTGGGTGCGTGTCTAGAAGGCCACTGTGTCTAGAAGGCTGTGGTCGTCCCCTTGCCGACACATAGAGCCGTAGCGACGACGCGCTGGCCAGCAAAGGCCTCGACCTTCGTCTTCTTGGGCAGCAGCTAGTCGAAGCTAGGTCTGCCGTCGCGGGCCGTGGCCCAGCTTGCCATCGTCACCATAGCCCCAGCTCCAGACACCGCCATCGGCTGTGGAGGGTGAGACTGTGCGAGCATCCAGCCGACACAGCGTGACCCGTGAGCGACGACACTCGACACAGGCAGCCCCGTGGCAGCAACAAGACGAGAAAAAGAAATCGCGTACCCTCTACAAGGGCGGCGAGGGCGGAGGCGGCGAGGGCGGAGGCGGCGAGAGTCGCCAGCGAGAGCGCGCGGCGTGGATCAGCAGCGAGTTGCCTTCATCCGCCATGGCCTGCCCGTGCCTCTCGTACCCGCGCACGCTGCGCGGCGTGCTGTCGCCCTCCGACCGGCGCCACCTGAGCCGCCTCTACCTCGAGCGCGTCCGCCCGACCGGCTCGCCGCTCATCTACTACCATCTTCTGACCCACCTCGCGAGGCACAAGGATGCGCGCGCCTGGGCCATCCTCGAGCGCGTCCGCCGGGTGGTTCGGCGCAGGTTTGGTGCCTCGTTCGTCGTGGTCAACGACTTCTTCTCGTACCGCGCCCGCGGCGTCGCCCTCTTCCAGGGGTGGCACCAGGACGGCGAGTTCTGGCTGACTGCCGACGGTTCGTCGGCGGCATGCTCCGGCCTGAACCTCTGGATCCTGCTCGACCACCGAGGGATGAACCGCTCCCTTCCCTAGAAGCGGAAGACGTATTCTGGTAGTCCGACTAGCGCTCGAGAGGACACGCATTCGACCGTACATTCGGCCGTACTCGGCCGTACTCGCACCCCTCGTCTTCACGCGATGCTCTGAACACGCTGCACAAGACCGCACCCCTCATTTCGGCGTCTGCCCCACCATGTAGGCTCCTTTGACGTCCTCGACTCAACCACCGCCCGCCCTCTCTACTCGACGCTCTACGCGGCGGCGCGAAGGGGAAGCAACCTCCGGCGCGTCAACCGCTCCGCAGCCGCCGGCATCGCCGCCGCCGCCGCCGCCGGCGACGGCGTTCTCAACAGCGTCGAGTCGCTCTTTGGCTCCTCCGCCCCGGAGACAAACAAGCGCCTCCTCCGGCCGGCCGTCTTTGAGCGGCTCTCGCGCGTCTCCGGCACCGGGCGGCGGCCGTGGGTCAACGTGCCGCTCGAACCGGGCGACGCGCTCGTGCTGCGCCAGGCGCGCCGGACCCTCTCCAGCCGCTCCGACCCTCTCCAGCCGCTCCAGCCGCTCCAGAGGACGCCGCGCGCCTCTCCCCACCGTGCGCCTCTCCCCTCCGCACACGCCGTTGGTGCACACCTCGCGTGGCGCCAGCACCTCCTCCCCCAGGCCACCGCCGCGTCGCGCGAGCGGAGCCGCGACTCGAACTCGGATCTCCCCATATCTCCCCGTATCTCCCCAGATCTCGCAGCCGCGACTCAAACTCGACCTTGCAGCGCGAGCATCAGAGCGCACCCACCACGCTGCTGCTCGCTTTGCACCTCATCTGACTCACGGCGCTACGCCCTCCTGGCGTCCGTACCTGAGTCTCGCCTGTATCTCGGCCACGTCTCACCCTGCCCCCGCGGAAGGTGGAGCTGCACCGGACAGACGTCGAGGAGCCACCACCGGGCGACTGGAGGCTGGCAATCGGCTTCAAGGTGACGAGTCCCCTACCCCCACGGTACCCGAACCCAGCCACACGCCGGGTCGGCGAGATCTCGGCTATACCTCGGCGGTGCCTCGGCCTCCTCTCGGCCACATGTCGGCGATCGGCCTGCAAGGTGATGCGCCGCCGCGCCATCCGCCGCCGGCACGACCAGTCCTCGCCCTTTGGGCACGACCTGTCCGTCATCGACGCTATCACTCCGGAGCTGCTGCCCCGCTTCCGCGTCGGCGGCCCGCTCCCGCTGGTGTACAACCGGAGCTACGTCGACGCGTACGACGCGGCCAGGGTACGCGACCTCTCCCTGCTCGTCCTGCTGGGCAGCGCCGCCGGCCGAGCGCCGCTGCTCTTCATCTTGCCGCTGTTTGCCGCCGTCCTTTGCTGGGCGGTGCTCCGCGAGCGGAGGGCGAGGGGCCCGCAGGGGCTGTCGGGGTAGAGGGCATTGCCCCTTTTATTAGTAATTTAGAATTATTAAAGGAGAAACAGAACAAGATTTTAACGTGTTCCTTTGCTTTACCCAGCTCCCAGTCCCAGCTCCCAGGTCCCACAAGCCACATCTCCTAGTAGAGGTGTCCGTTTTCATTTACTTATGTAGAACAAGATTTTTCACAATCGTGAGCCGACAGCTCCGTCATGGCCTGAGATGTCTGGGCTGTGCGTCAATTCAAAAAAAGAGCGCCACATCCGCCCGCTCGAGAGCTTGCGAGAGGCTCTACCGTTCACTACCGAACAGATATACTCGTACACGCACACCGACCATACCCAAGGCCAATATGGCGCGCATATCCGCTCATGACGAAGTTGCATTCTTGCATGTAATGACCCGACCGGCTGCATGCACCTTCGTCCGCAGCTCACCACAGCTCCCAGTGAGCGGGCAGCGAGCCGTCGGACACGTTCTCGAACTTCGGAGCAAACGCCTTCTCCGTGGAGACCCAAACCGGGTCGGCGACCCCCGCCGCAAATTCGCGGTCGCAAAAGCGGCGGAGAGTGAGGCCGCTCTTACTCTCGCCGACGCGCTGGCGCTGCTTGTGGATGACGCAGTCGTCACGGGTCGGGTCGCACTCCTCTGCTGCGTCCCCCGGCTTCTTGCGGCACGTCCACAGCTCGGTGCGATTGGCGAGCTCCTCGTCGTCGGGGTACTGGTCGCGGCAGCAGCACTCGCCGATGAAGGACTCCCAATCCGTGGCGTTGACGTGTTCAGTGAGGAACTCGTATTCCCGGATGCGCGCCTTGGTGATATCCTCCGCTAGCTCTTCTCCGAGGCCGTCGGCTCGGTAGTCGTCGAACAGCTTTGCGCCGAGTCCCTCGGGGGTGCTCCGCACCACGAGACCGGTGGCGGAGGCGTGGACGGCGCCGACGATGACGAGGAAGACGGCGACGAACGCGCAGAAGGCGGAGAGCATGAAGGCGGAGGCGAAGAGCGAGAGCGTCGACCTGTTGAGCGACTGGTCCACCTTCTTGCGCGTCGAGGTCAGCTCGACGAGCTGCGAGGGCGGCAACGCCCCCTCCAGCTCCTCCGCGATGGCGAGGTGCTTGGATCGGTGGCGGTAGGCGAGCACGAGCCCGACGGGGAGGCAGACGAGAGGCAGCAGATAGTTGAAGGAGACGAGGATCCAGACAATCGCCTCCTCGCCCAATCCGCCGAGGGCGTCGTAGCGGGCGAGCAGGATCAAGATGGTCGAGACGAGGCACCCGAGCGAAGCGGCCACATTGATCGCGTTCGACGCCGGGTCAAAGTAGGGGCGCTGCCACACGGCGACGACCATCCAAGCGGCGTAGATGACAAGCATCAGGATCGCCGCAACCAGGCAATAGGGCGGCTTGGAGAGGAACGTGGCGACGATGACGAGCGCCAGCTTCTGCACGATGTTGATGGCGCGGTAGTAGCGCCACTTGTGAGAGAAGACGGAGTAGATCTTGCGCGCACGGTTGCGCGAGCGGAGGATGCGGTACTCCCACGCCACGCTCGCCTCCGCCGCCTTGACGCGCTCCACGTGGAGAAAGTCAGCGATCCGCTCGGTCGGGATCCAGCCTGACAGCCCGCGCGACAGCCCGCGCGACAGCCCGCGCGACAGCCCGCGCGACAGCCCGCGGGAGGGGCCCCGGACGGTGCCGCCCTCACCGGCGACCGCGCCGTCCTCGACGTCGGTCGCGGTGCCGCCCTCGCGAGAGAAGGTGCGGGAGAGACCTCGGTTGAGCGCCGCCGCCGAGCCTCCGATCATGCCTCGCGTGAGCGTGAGCGGGCCCGTCTGCGTTCGCGGGTTGGAGCACGAAAGCATTCCGCACACGCTCCACTTCTTAGCCGCCTCGCGCTCGGCCACCTCCGCCAGTGCGGCGGGGTCGATGGGGACGCGCTCGAGCTCGCGCTCGTGGTGCGAGACGACGCGCGCGAACAACACGATCAACATGCCCGTGAAGCCGATGAACATCAGGATCGACGCGGGAAAGTAGAAAGGGGCGACGGAGTCGTAAAAGTCGAGCGCGCGCTCGGCGTTGAGCACGGTGCGTTCCTCACCCGGGCACGCGACGAAGCCGACGGAGTCGAAGGCAGGACACGTTGTCGAAGGCGTGTACCTGATGCTGTACCCGTCCGCCGTTGTGTTGATGCTGTACCCGTCCGCCGGGCCGTAGTTGATGAATTGACACTGCTGGCAGGCCGTCGCATTTGTCTCATCGCTGATCCCCAGCTCAAAAGGTTCCAATTGGCCATCTGCTGTCCGGATGTAGAGCGACGGCGCCCCGAAGAGGGATGGCGCTGTCGGGTACCACTCCCCAGCGTCGCAGACCTCGTCATCGGCCACAAAGGCGGTGAAGACGAATCGCGCGATGGGCACGTAGAGGAATGACGCGCAAAACAGCAGCCCCGACATGGCGAGCTGGTTGGTCAGTGTGGCGGCGTCCTCGAGCCGCTTGCGGCCCGTCTCAAAGAGGCAGAGGGCGAAGAAAACAAAGCAGATGGCCGAGAGCGAGAAGGCGATCACCTGCACCGCCACTGAGTAGAGCGGGTTGGCATCCTCCACGACCAGAGAACCGGGGCTGCTATTCGATCCGTCCTGCGCCGGCGGCGCCCTCCGCGTGGCGTCGATGTACCGCCCAACGCCGATCAAGAAGAACCCGGCGCCGAGGATCGCCGTGCGGATCAGGTCCATCGGCGGGCGCGGCGCGCCGTAGCGGCTCCTCGCGGCGACGGCGGCGAGCGAGCGGGCGATGGAGGCGGTGTCCTTGCGCTTGTACCGCTCGGCTGTCAGCCTCAGCTTGAACTTGGCCTTGACCAAGGTGACGCGCAGCTGAAACCATCCGGCGGCCGCACGGACGAAGAGTGCGCCGCCAACCATCACCAGGCCGATCGTGTACGCCCAGGTGAAGACCTCGGGGGAGAGGTTGGGGTTTAGGAGAAGCAGGTCCTCGATCGGCACAGAGTAGGCGAGGAGGAAGCCGACGAGGGTGGTCCCCACGCCCGCGGTGATGGCGAAGAGCCAGAGCACATCGAAGGTGCTCTTGAAGAGCAGCAGCACGAGGAAGGATATGCAGAGCGGCGTGATGCACGCGAACACAAGGTAGAACCACGACCAGGGCAGGTCGGAGACCGTCTCGGCGAGATCCTCGAAGCCGAAAGACTCGGAAACCTCCGCAAGGCGAAGCGAGTTGAGCGTTTCCGTCCACCCGAGCACCGAGCCCCACGCGTCGCGGGCCGGCTTCGGAACCTCCGAGCTGAAGCACTTGAAGACGGCAACGTTGAGGCCGGTAAACTGCATCTGAGAGAAGAGGATCTCGAGAATAGAGCTCGAGAAAAGCATGCTCAGCGCGAAGGAGGAAGACGACATCCCCCCTCTGCCCCCGTCCCCTAGCCCCGCGCCCATCGCGCCGCTTCCGCTCGTGGCGGCGACAGCGCCACCGTCGCTCCCCCCCGCGTCCTCGTCGCTGGAGCTCCCACACGAGTCCTCGGACCCCGTCTCGTCGTCGGAATCGCCTCCCTCCTTCTCCTCCGCCGCCGCCTCCTCCGCCTCCTGCTTCTCCACCCCCTCCGCTGCCTCGTCCGCCCCCCCATTCTCATCCGAAGCCTCCGCCTCGCCCTTCCCACCTTGCTCCTCCTCGCCCTGCTCCTCCTCGCCCTGCTCCTCCTCGCCCTGCTCCTCCTCGGCGCAAGCCAGGGCGCTGGCGGATCCTGTGACCCGCCCTAGCGTGGAGTGCTCCTCAGCCTCGGAGTCGGGCGAAGAGGCGAGCAGCCTCGCCGCCTCACTCGCCGCAGGGTGGTCGTCCTGCGCTGCCACGCTCTTGAGCAGCGCGTACAGCGCGCCGACAGAGCTGAGAGCCGGCTTGAGGACAGGGGGCGCAGGCGCCGGCGGCTCGCGTTCCTCCGGCTCCGCATCGAGCTCCGCAACACGCGCCTCTGCGGGCGGCGGGCACTCGTTGAGGAACGAGACGGAGCGCTTCTGCATCAGCCGCTGCACGCGCCTCCGCTCCTCCTCGCGATCAGCCGCCCGGTCTGAGGCTCCGCGGTTCAGACCCAACGCCCCGGTGCTGGCCCCGCTTGACTGGCGCTGGTTCTGGCGCCTCGTCTCGCGCTTCGCTTCCCGTGCCAGCCGCCTGCGCTTGATCCGCAGCTGCGCCGCCATCCACTCATCGTACGAGATGAGGCCGTCGCTGTCCACGTCGAGGTCATCGAAGGTCTTGCGCACCGCCTCAAAGGAGACGGGCTTCCCTGCCCGCTTGCCCGTGGCCTCCATCGATGCCTGGAACTCGCTCAGGTCGACAAAGCCATCGCCGTTGCGGTCCAGCTCCTCGCTGCGGGGCAGGTCGTGACGAGCTCAGCGGGGGAGCATGTGACGAGTGCAAGCTTGAGCGGGCCAACTCACAATGCCCTCGAGTGGAGGTTCACCTCGTCCACCGTGAGCTCGTCCGCCATTGTGAGCAGCCGGCGTCTCTCGGCTGGCAAGGGATATCACGTCCGCAAAAGAATTTTACGACGCGCGCAAAAGAATTTTACAACGAAACTCCCTCGCACAACACTGGGCACGGGACTGGCGCGCACTGGCACTAGCACAGGTACACAAAAGAATTTTACTACCTCACAACACTAGGCACGGTACTGGTGCGCACTGGCACTAAAACGCAAACATTACGCTAAAACAAACCCTAATGGCTGTCCAGAGCACTATTGACTGCGGCTTGACACCCCACGTGAAAGCGGCCGGACATAGGTGAACCCACCGAAGGCCGCAGGGCACAGCGCAGGGAAGCAGAAACTGTCGCATATGCGACGGTCGTAGAGGGCATTGAGCACTGTGCTCATCCGGCCCCCAGAGGCACGTGCCGTATTGTTGCTCACGGCATCTCCTCTCCGGTACAGCCAGTCTCCTAGCCCCTAATGCGAGGCGTAATGCCAAGCACATCACAGCTTGCTGTGCCATAGCTCCGTTGCTGGGTTCCTTTCGTAAGGGACGACCAGCACCGTGTTCGCAAGTTATTTTCGTAGAGCTCGCCATGCACGGCCGGGGCACTGCGAGCTGTACCAACAAACGGCAGTCGCTGGCCAGACTGTCGCCAGAGAGAGCCGCACAGAGGCCGCCTGGCTTCTGTGCGACCGGCAAAGGGCACCGACTGCGGGCCAAGAGGCACCGCCTCGGCCCCACGAAGGTCAGCCCAAGCTCAGAACCTCCGCGCCGCACTGGCACCTGCGCGCCGGGCGGGGCACGGCGCACGCGCCTGATGTATCTCTCCATATCATTGGACCACCGCCGTAGTAAATCCGATTGCGATTGGACAGGCCTAGTCTGGCCGATTTTTTTGCGGTATCTTGATGTATCTCTCCATATCTGACCGTATCCCGCCATATCCCGCCATATCCCGCCATATCCCGCCATATCCCGCCATATCCCGCCCGCCTCACGCCGTCGCAAGGGCCGCCTAAGCGCCTAAGCACCCTAAGCACCCCCCGCTTAGGCCGCTTAGGCGCTTAGGCGAGCGACGGCCGGTCATATCCGCGTGTATCTCCCGGTATCCCGCCATATCCCACCATATCCCGCCATATCCCGCCATATCCCGCCATATCCCGCCGCGGATACCGCGAAAAAAATCGGCCAGCCTAGGCATTTGGACGCCGTTGAGGATGAGGGAGATCACACTCCCTCGACTGTGATCTGAACTTTATTCCCCCCATTCCCACAGTCACCGGTGCTCAACACTTGGGTGTCAAGCTGCAATTGCTCAGTCGAATTGCTTAGGATAGGCGTGGTAGGTGCGTGTGTGTAAAGAATTTTACAACAACTCCCTCGCACGACACTGGGCACGGGGACACCGGCGCGCACTGGCAGCACTGGCACTAACACAGGAAGAATTTGGGGGCAGATTTAATGACATTTGAGGTGAGGTTCACAAGAGACACACACAGCTAGCCAATCATGGTCGGCATCTCGACCCAGCGGTAGGCATTTGCCGCGTCGATCTCGCTCTCCCTCCTCTCCCGCCGCGCCTCCTGGAGCGCGTTCCGAATCTCCCTCCTCGCGCGCCGCGAGGTTGGCCGAACCCGCCTCATCACGCTGCTGGAGAACTTGTTCCGATCGCGGCGCTGCGCTCCAAAGCTATCGGTGCCGATCCGCACGCGCCGCACATAGCTCAGCTTGGGGAAATTCTGCTCGAGGTACATGGCGCCCTCGGCAAGAATGCGCGCCTGCTGCGGCGCCTCGCCATACCCTGCAAAGATTCGATCGACAACGGTCATGCCGTCACCGACGACGACGCCAAAGGGGGCGAAGCCCATGCCGTCGAGCTTGACGTTGCGATTTAGATTAACGAAGAGCTGGGTGTTCCTGCTGCGCAGGCCCGACGAGGCGAAGGAGACAAGCCCGCGATCATTGCTCTTGAGCACAGGGTCGTCCGGGATGGTGCGGTTCGTCCACCGGGCGGAGATGTCCGGCCTCGGGTGGATCCCAAATTGCACAATAAAGTTTTTGACCACGCGGAAGAAACTCGTACCTGTGTAGAAGTCAGCCTCGAGGAGCTCCTTGAAGCGGGCCGCACCGTTCGGCGCCCAGTCTGGATGCACCTCAACCTCGAAGGAGGCGGACTGGCCCCTCGGAAGAGAGCAGTAGAAGGTCACAACATATGTGTCGGAGGGCATGTGGTGGATCGTCGGTAGCTTAGGGACAGCGGGAGGGGAAGGCTGCGATTGCGTTTACATGCTGTGTTTAAAGTTGTGGCGGGTTGTTGGGCTTGAGCGCTTGACCCACCAAGAGCAAAGGCTGGGAAGGGTACGTTTTGGGTACGGGTCTTCGAGGGTCTGGGATATTTTAGCAGACTGTTGGCAGAGCGGTGTTTGCGTATTTTTTGCTACGAACGAGTGCGAGAGGTGTCCAGTGATCTTCTTCACTCAGATACATACGTACGTACGTACGATCGATCGATCGTCGGTCGGCGTCGCCCGCCGCCGCCCGCCTTGCTGCGGGCAGTGTGCACCATCTCCGTCCGCCGGCCACGCGATCCCGGCATCCCGCAAAGCGCCGCGCCCGGCCCTCGCCCAGCCGCTCGAAAGGCGAGCTCGCAGATGTCGTGGTTGAAGCCGAGCAGCTTGAGCACGTCGGCGGTGAAGAGGTACTGGATCAGCATGAAGGGCAGGTAGCTCGTCGTGAGGAAGAAGACGGAGAGCTGCAGCCACGTGCCGGCCATCTTCTTGTTGTCCGAGCCGAGCGCCTGCCCGACCAGCGCGTTGAGCACCTGGTTGAAGGCGAGCGGAGGCACGATCAGGATGTTGACCACCATGTCGGAGAGCGACGCCGCGGCGAGGTACTCCTCCCCGGAGTACGGGCGGTCAAAGAAGACGCCGGTCGTCGCGTTGGTGAGGTGGCCGACAAAGGCGGTGTCTGTGGAGGCCATGCCGATCCGGCACACGAAGCCCACCATGGGCCAGCCGAGCATGAACATAGTACTGTGAGAGAGGCCTCCTAGAAATCGTCATAAACAAAGGACCAAAGGCACAGCATACAGCCGTCACCGCGACACGAGTCACGACCCACAGCTGTCGCGCCCCGGCGTGGGCTTACTTTAGTCTAAGATAGCAGCGCGGCGGCCACGAACCGAGGACCAGCGCTACCGAAAGAGCCGTTCAATTTCGCTCGCTCGCGGTCGCTTTCGGCCCGCCACCTTGAAGGGAAGGTCCGCTATTCCGAGCTCGAGCCTCGCATCGTTGACTCGCTCCCGCAAGCCGTCCGGCACGTGCTTGGCCGACTTGAGCTTTGCTGCCGCGAGCTGGAAGAGCGTGGGGCGCTCAGGAACTGCTCCGCCGGCATAGGCAATCGTCCACCGGCGCGCCTCACGCATGTACTTGTCGCGCTCGTACAGGAACGCGTGGCCGGCGTCTGAGCGAATGACGTTGATGACATCAGCGCACGGAGTGCGCATCAAGGAAACGATGCACATGACGGTCGTGGCAACCGTGAGTGCGGGGCTCCAGCCGGAAGAGAGGAAGTTTCCCTCGAACCGGACACCAACGCGAAAGTTGGCCCCAACGCCATAGATGGATATAGCCCCGACGCCGTCGAAGCCGCGGCGGAGGGACTGCACGACATTCGGGTGGAAAATCCGTGTGACGAACGCCACTGCCGGCGGCTTCCACGGATATTGGTTGGGGATCTTGATGTCCAGATGAAAGGTGCCGCCCTGGTACGGCGAGCCAGGCGGGCCAGCCAACGTTGCTTGCCAATGCATGATGTCCTCGCCAATCGGGCCGATCGAGAGAATGGGGCCGGCGCTCGAAACGTCGGGATTGGCCGGCAAATCCCGCAGCTCTTTCTCTACACGGCGAGTAGTCCCATGCCACAGAGAGGCCGCCGGTCGCTCCGCCATCGTGATGTTGGCGTCGCGCCAGGCGCCGAGGTGCCGAGCAGCGAATAAAGAATTCGGGTCCACTGCGGGACGCGGCCACGAAAGGTGTGCAGACCCCAGTTCCGGCGGACGCAGCGAGCGTCGGGACTCCGTCCCAGCAGACGAAGTCTTCCTCGTGGGCTCCACGGCCCGGATCGCGAGCTCGATCGATACGCGACGCGCTCGGCCTCCGCTGGCGGCTGCCGCAAGAGCGGCTGGCTCACGGCAGCGTCTCGCCGGTTGCCGGATAGGAGAGTACAGAACGTCTGGAGTGTAACTGTGTACGTGAGATCGGTTTTGATAACAAGCACGGTCGATCCGTCAAAGCGATACACTCGTTCCTATCTCGCTGGAGGGCTGGCACGGAGCCGTTTGTGCCGACATGGTTGCAAGGCCATCAACCTGCCCTTCTGGTGAAGACCGACTCGGACTGGACCCGGGCTCAGCACCCGGATCCAGCAAGCTAGTACTAGCCGCGACGGCGCGGAAGTAGCTAGTCGTGAGGTCTTGGCGTGCATGTGCGAGTTTCATCCTCAAAAGGTGTCTTGAATCTGATTTCAAACGTGTGCTTTACTTCCTTCCCCTCCCCCGCGCCGCCGAGGCCCGCCCCCGCGCCTTCCGCCTCCCCTCCCCGGCTCGTCCCTCGCTAGAGGACCCCGCCTTCCTCATCTTGGGTCCTGGCAGCAACCGCCGGCTCGACCCTGCTGCGGTACGAGCGGCAGTATCAAAGACCCGGGACAAACTGCCCTCTGTGATCACGGAGGAAGATGCAAAGGAGTGGGATGACTGGGCAGAGCATACACCAACGTCGCTGCGTGGACACTCTCCCGGCCGACAAGCGTGCTAAGATGAGAATGCCAATGAAGCATACTGCTCAGGCCGTACCATCCCAGGCCGAAGAGCGTAAGCAGGTTGAGTTCACCTTCGCGTCCAGATTGACGCAGGTTGTGCACTTCTGGAAGTTGAGAATCGCCCGGGCGCGTTTGATATGCGTCAAACCGTCACTGTTGCGGACCACCTTGCAAAACGTCTCGTAGGAGACGGCGTCGTCCCCGAGGTCTGCCTTGTATTCGTCCCACTCCTCTTTGCGAGTGCGACGAGGCACAATCAGCTTGCCTGTGTCGGGCATGTAATCCCCGCAGGTGGAAGCATACTTGTCGTACCAACCAACCACAGAAGCTGACCTCGCCCCGCGTGTGCAGTCCTCCGCTGCAGGAAGCAGCTCGCCAGGGTTGCGCTTGGGGTGGGCCGTGGTGTAGCCGTGTTCGAGACGATTTTGAAGCATGGTCAGTGTCGACCCCGCCTGTCTGCAGCGATCGTCTTGTACTGGAGCGTGGTAAGGCTGGCGTCACTCGACCGCGTGCCGAGGATTGAGAACTTTGCGACGTGAGCAGCTCGCAGGTTGGCACTGTCCTTGGTGAGGTAGCGAGTTGGGGAGGCAAGATGCAGGCCGTACAGACGAAGCTCGCTTCCACCGTGGAAGTGTGACCGAGACGCCCGCCACGAGGCCTCATTGCGGCCAGCTGATGCTCTGGCTGGGAGCGCTGTGGCTGACGACTGCCGCAAATTTGGCTGAGATCTGGGGCGCTGCTGCGCGTTCTCTGCGGAGCAGCAAGCCCTCGCACGCGCGCGCTGGCGCTGGACGGCACGCGTCGCCGCCGCCAGAGCCATGCCATGGGCTGCAAACTCTTTCTTCAGCTTGCGGAGCTGCCCGTCGCTGCTTCATCTAGCTGCTCCTTCAGATTGCCGCTCCGCGCTGGCGCATCGGGGGTGGAGAGGATGGAGAGAGAAGGGGCAGGAGGGAGGATCGAATTCGACTGCGCCGCCTGCGCCGCCTGCGCCGCCGCCTGCGCCGCCGCCTGCGCCGCCTCCGCCTCCGCCTCCGCGGCCGCAAGCCTCTTGCCCGCGGCGACCACCTATGAGCAAGTCTACCGCCTTCAGACACAACCCCAAGTGTGCTCACAACAACGAGCTCACCGATCTCAGCGGCTTGAGGCCGGCGAAGCTGCTGCCATTCGTACCGAAGAGGTCTGCGATAATGGCGCATCCCTCCTTGTTCAGCTCCCACGCCTTTGGCGTCTTCTCTGAGCACGCGCCGACCACCTGAATGTCGCTCGGGTCTGGCATTGGGAGCATGGCAACGTGAGCGCCTCCCGCCGTGACCACGAGGTTCCAGCCGACCCGCAGGCTCTCGCAACCCGCATCCTTGAAGAGGTCCAGGTCGTTCTCCTCGGCATCCCAAACGTAGGCAAAGATGAAGCAAATTGCCCGCAGCTTCACCGGGGGCCCGCCGCGTACGGTGAATGCATCGCAGACAACAAAGTTGTTGGCCTCGTATGAGGCGGAGTGGTCGTCAGCGCGATCGGCAGGCCGGAGCGTAATGGCCCCAAACATCCGCGCGCGAGTGGAAAAGCGCGGGATGGGAAGGTTCGGCGACGCCTCGCCTTTGGGCGTCCACTTGTTCATCTCATTTCGAACATACTCGCGAGTGTCATCAGGCGCCGCAGGATAGACAGGCGCCTTGCCGGCCGGGAGATAAAGGTCCTCTTTCTTTATCTCGACATATGGAGCCTCCGGAGAGCCTGAGGGTGAGGAGGGCATGAGGCACGATCCACGAGAGGGTGGCAGGCGGGCACGTTTCGCGATCTCGGTTTTCTTGGTATCTTACGTGGTGCGCGGCCGTGGTGGCCCGACTTTTGCTTCCTTCTAGAAAAGCGCAAACGACCATGCGGTTTTTATTAGCTAGTCTGGTGTTGAAATCGATGTGGCGAGTCGACCGCCAGTCCGCACGATGGCACTGCGACCGCGGCGGCTGCCGGCGAGGGCAGCAGCGGCGCGCGCGAGGCGGCAGCGTAATCGGGTCCGAAGTCCGGACCCGATTTGGGGTCTACACACCTTTTCCCCGAGTGGGACTGCACTCCAAGTGCTCCAAGTGCACAGCGCGCAATAGGGTGACATCGCTAAAAAGCCCTTGCGAGACACCGGATCCAACCGTAACACCCACGCCGTGGTAGAGACTCACTCACCGTCCGCATCCATCGTGTACACCATCAGCTGGGAAAGCAGCCCGCCGGCTTCCGACTCGCCGCCCTCTTTGCGGAACCCGAGCCGCTCGTAGAACGGCACCGCGTTGGCGCTGCTGTTGGCCGTCACACGCCTGACGCTCTCCTCCTCGAAGCGGAAGTGGAGCTCTCCCCACAGGCGTTTGCCAATGCCGGCCCCGGAACGTTCGACATACATGTGGCGCACGTGGCTCAGTGGGGCGCCAGCCTCGGCGCCAAGCGGCCTCTTTCGCGCCGCGAAGCCGACAATCGCGCCGTCCATCACGCACACGAACGCCTCAACCGCCCCGCCCTGCAGCTCGCCTAGGATGGCCGCTTCGCCAAGGATGTCCTCAAAGAGCGTGGAGCGCCCCACCGGAGTGAAGCCGGAGGTGTCAATCTGGGCGGAAGCGACACGCACGCACATCGCGCTGATGGTGGCGGCGTCCGAGATGGCGGCGGGCCGGATGCTGCAGCCCGGGCCACCCGGCGCGGCGGCGGCTGAGGTGGCTGCCCTTCCGTGGTCGCCCTCGCGCGGGGGAGGCTCCAGCCCGAGTGCGCGGCCGCGCTCGATGAGCTCCTGCGGGATCGAGCCTTGCAGCATGGACAGCGGCACACCGCGCTCGAACGCCTCGCCCACGGTGACAGAGCCGACACGCGAATCGTGCGCCGCGAGCGCTTCCGGGCTGAGCGCGCCGATGCTGATCACCGTGTCGGTCGCTGCCTCCGCCATCGTGAATCGCCAGCGTGGTCTCGCGCCAACGAGCTGGTTCGAGCGCTGCGGCGGCACCGCTATGCCTCGGAGGAAGCCGTGAAGGCAGGACGCTGTGGGGTGGGTCAGGCCATCATCCTGTACGTGCCATGCCCACCAGCCGCCGCGCCCGCGGCGACGCGCGGTGGGAAGAAGCACTGAGCACTGAGCACTGAGTCTCTAAGCCGCGGCACTAAGCACTGAGTCTCTGCTTCCGGGTTGTGTGCTGGGTCTAGATCCGCGACTGTCTAGAGGTCGAGGGAGCGATGCACCCATCCCAGCACCACACTCCCATATCCTCGTTGTCCTTCGTATTGCTATTGGTCACGATTGGGTATAGGGCGGCTGTTCACAAACAGGCTCTCCGTCGCGCTCCGCGGCTTTTCACAGCCAGATCGGGCGTTGGCGTGTTTAACAAAGTGCGAGAAGCTCCGCTGCAGGCGCCCGTCTCTTTTTTGAAATTCACAGAGGAGGAATTGTATTGTGCTTTCATTCACAGACCCTGTTTCACAGACCTTGTTATTGACAAGAAAATACGTCCTATGGCGCTTTGCGCTGGTCTGTGAGAGGTTGAGGTGCGGCCCTGGAGGCCCTTCGCTCGAGCTCTCCGAGGCCGCGTTCTGACCTCGTGCCGCGGCTGTCGTCGCTGCAGCAGCGACGAGGGCCGCGGCAAGGGGTGCAGCGGCGACGGGCGGGGCGGAGAGGCGCGGCCAGCTACCGGGCTGTTGCCCCCGCCTACCGCGTCGGGCCCCTGCACCCGGAGGCGGCTTGCGGCAGCCTTCCCGTGTCTCCGTGCGACCCGATGGGGTAGCCGGCCAAAACGCGCGCGTCTGTGAGATTTCCGGACTTTGAGTGTGCACCGCGGGAAATATCAAAGTGAGAGTGTACCAAAGTTAGTAGGTCATTTTGAAGGGTTGGTATAGGCCTTTCACTGGTGGGTAGCCCGGGCGTCGCGCGGTACGCGCCGGGCCGTCAGCGCCTTTCGAAAACAGCGACACTATCCACCTACTAGGGTTAAATATCCGTTTTAGATAGACGGCTCGCAGTAAAATTCTTCCCGCGCCCTTCCCGAGCCGGTTCAGCCGTTGGCCTACATGGACTTCCTCGACGACCTCCCTCAAGACATGCTGGCGGTACTCGCTCAAGGCCTCGACGTGGTGTCGCTGGTGCGATTCTCCGCGCTGAACCACGCCTCCCGAGCCGCCTCCTCCACAGGGCTCCGCGCGGCCAGGGACGCCTTCGAGGCGCTCGTCGGTCTCTTCGGCGGCGACGCGGCGGCGCGCACGGCGGCGCAGAATTTGACAAGGGTCGCGCCGCACCTCTTCATCGTCGCTCGGCCTGCGGCCGTCTTCGCGGCTCGCCTCTCCGGTCTCGCCGACATCTTTGGCAGCGACGCGTCGGCGCGCACGGCCGCTGTGGCATACCCGAGGCTGCTCGCCGTCGCCTCGCCGACGGCCGTCTTCGGTGAGCGCCTCTCCGCGTTGGAAGACGTCCTTGGCGGCGACGCGGCGCGCTCGGCCGTCGGCTCGTGCCCGCGGTTGCTCACCATCCCATACGCGGTCTTTGCGGGCCGCCTCGCCGCGCTCGCCGACATCTTCGGCGACGACGCGGCCGCGCGCACGGCCGTGGCCAACTGCCCGAGGCTGCTCACCATCGACTCGCATGCGGCCGTCTTTGCTGCGCTGGCAGATAGCATCGGCGGCAACATCGCCTCTGCACGCAAGATCGTCCATCTTTCCCCAAGCGTGCTCCTGCGGGCCTACTTGCGATGATCCTCCCCGAGGAGGGCGGCGACGAGACGTGGCGATGCTGCCCCTCCTCGGCCGACGCTACCTCGACACATCCTACCACGACGCGCGATTTTTGCTTTTTTTTGTGATGCCGCCGCTGAGTGACCCGTCTGCCGTCTCGGACTCGGTCGGCACAGTCTGTCTTTTTGGTGTCTTTATACATAACCAAAGAATCAATCCCACTCCTGGTACTCCTCCCCCCACACCTCCTCCGCCACCCACACCTCGCGGTCAAAGAAGTCGTAGCCCTCGACGACCGGCTTGTGGTTGCAGAGGACGATCGACATGCGGAAGCCCTTGCCCGAGCTCACGGCGTGCAGCAGCGCCTGTGGGGGAGGGCACAAACAGGTGAGAGGGCCGTGGGCTCACGCAGTCTGCACAGCGGGAGCCGCGCCTCAAAGTCGCCAATCACCAGCGACCAGCCGGGGCATGGCAGCTCCAGCGACAGCGTGACGTAGCGCTGGTCAAAGCCCTGAAAGTCGCCGAAGATGAGCACGGCGCCAAAGCCGCGGTTGTGCTGGTCACGGTGGACGTAGAGCCCGCTGTGCCCCTCACCGCTGCGCAGGTGCGTCCAGCGCTTCTTCAGGTGGTCGAACCGACTCTTTGGGAGGTTTTCAGGATCGACATCGGCGTCCCAAAAGATGTTGAGCGAGGCGTAGGAGAACCTGAGGCCGAGCGGCAGCTTGTCGCGCAGGATGGCGAGGACCTGCGGCGTGACACTGGCGGGCGCATTCAGCAGCACGTGCTGCGCCATCTTGGACAGCGGAAGCACAATCCTCTTGAAGGCTGCCTTGGCGGGGCACTTCTCCGCGGACCGGACGAGCCTGACGGCGCCCGGGTCGATCACCTCTCCCTCCGCATTCCGCTTTTTGCAGCGTGCCTCGGGGAAGTTGTGGATTTGGCTGCAGGCTGGCGCACACTGCAGAGCCCAGCGCAGGTGGATGCAGCCGTGGAACCAGGCGGCCCTTACGTCTGCAAGCTTGGCAATGGCCTGTTGGATCGTGAAGCTCGGGTTGAGCTGGAAGGCCAAAATGGAAGCCTTGCCGAGGTCGCAGCTGCGCCGCAGCTTGGTGATGCACCAAGCCTCCTCTTGGGACAGCGCCCCCCACACGCCAGCAATGTCGAAGAGAGAGGGGAAGTAGACGAGGGCGGGCTGGACCCAGCCGTCCATGCAGCCAGTTGCGACGAGAGGCAGGCGAGGGTCGTGCCGGTACGCATGTGCGAGAACCGGGCATTTTTCTGGCGTGAGCGGCTTTGCTGAGTGCCCTTTACCCTGGCCAATGAACGGCTCGAAGATACCCGCCGAGGACGGGTCGGACGGATGGTGCAGAAGCACCGCCTCACCCAATCCCCAGAGGCGCAGAGGCCGGCGCATTGCCTCCTGAAAGGCCAGCTGCGTGCCCGCCTCCAAGGCGCCCGGGCCGCCGACACGCACCACTCCCGATCCCGGTGGCGGCTCGGCTGTGTGGTCGAATGGAAGCACCACATCGAGGACGCGCAACGGCGTGCGGTGCGCCACCCCCTCGGCCGGCTGCCGGGAGGCGGTGGCGGTGAGGACCGGCACATACCTCATCGACTCGAACTGCTGCTGTGCCGCGGGAGGGTAGACGGCGATGTCCGCAATGGGCAAGGGCTTTGAGGGTGGCCGGCATGCTTTAGCCTGATTCTTCTTGTGCCACTCGGACCACTTTGCTGCACCCGCGAGCCGCAGATACACGGGTGCCCTGCCATGCGGCAACAACCAGACGCCAAAGTCCGACCGCGCCCGGCCCAGTGCTGCAGCCGCTAGCAGGTCCGCAAGACAGGCGCGCTCGGCATTCACGCCATTCGTCGCCGTGAAGCGCTTGTTGTAGGACCCCACCAACGAGCCCTTTCCGCCTTCGAGTCCGAGCATCTCGGCGGTGAACGGAACCCTGACCATCGTGCGGGGTTATCTTTGGGAAGCCCGGGGCGCGCCGCAGACGGTTGGATCGATCCCGTCCCCGCCCGTCTGAAGGGGTATCTGCTGCTCGTATGAGCGTTGCAGCGGAGCGCGGAAGGAGAGACTAGTGGGCCCACTTTGCTTGCGATACAATTGTAGCCCCTCGGACGGGCGCATTTGCAAGAAAAAGCTTACACACAGCATGCACAAGAAATAAAGAAAGGAGATCGACACACACACACACACACACACACACACACACACACACACACACACACACACACAGAGAGAGAGAGAGAGAGAGAGAGAGAGAGAGAGAGAGAGAGAGAGAGAGAGAGAGAGGAGGTGCTCTACGTTATTTTGCGTTGTGGCACACTTAAAAAGAAATTCAAAGAACACAACTCTCTCTCACAGCAGACAGGCTCGACACAGGTGCGGACTGGCCGTGCTAGCACTATCACAGGCACACGAAAGAAAGAAAAGAAAAGCGCGCGCGGCACACTTGCGTCGGAGTGCCACGCCGCAATGCACCTACTCTCGTCTCCCTCTCGAGCTCCTGGCCACCTTCGCCGCCGCACGCTCTCCGCCGGCTGCCACTGCCGCACCTTCGACTCGCGCGCGGACGGGCACGTGCGTGGCGAGGCGTGCTGCGCCGCGACGCTGCGCGTCAGCAGCTTTGCCACGCACGACACACTGCGACTGGTCGGCTGCTGCGTGCGGCCGGACGGCAAGAGGGCGAGCCTGACGGCGCTCAACGGCCAAACGCAGCGGGCGCTGCTGTGGGCCGCGCCGACGCCGCGATGCTGAGCGACGCGGCTCACTGCACGGGCATGGCGCTGGGCGACCCGATTTGAGGCGCGCTCTCTCGCCTCTCGCTCCACACGGGGCGGCAGGACGACGAGGCGCTCGCTGGTCGGAGTAGGCGCATCCGCTAGCGCAAGGGGTGGACGCGGCGGCGCCGACCGGGCTCGTTCGCTAGTGAAAATCTCCGGCAGCCGGCGCACTGCGCAGCTTGGTGGCGGACCACATCGGGCTATGTCGTCTTCCCTGGCGACGGCTGCCTCGAGGGCGACCGACGCGGCGACCGACGCGGCGACCGACGCGGCGAGCGGCTTGCTGCGGCGCGTCTTCTTCCTGCTGCCCCTCTTGCTCGACGGCGATGTGGCACAGTTGCGCGTGGTGTGCGAGCTCAACGCGGCGGAGGAGCGCTTTGAGGTGCGAAGCGAGCTCACCGAGGAAGGGGCAAGCACCGCCCATTGCGGCGGCTCGACGGATGCGGCGCCGCCGGGCGACGAGCGGCGGCGCCCGCAGCCGGCCGCGGTGCGCGGGAGCTGCGGGGCGGCGAGCGCCGCGGACCTGTACTCCGCGTTCCGGGGGATGGGCCTCGAGTACGGCCCTGCGTACCGCACGCTCGCGGGCATGTGGGCGTCGCCAGCTGCTGCGGTGGGGCAGCGCGCCGCACGTGGCCACTTGTGCCCGGTGGCGGAGCGGCAATCGGCACGACTCGCCTCGCTCTAGTGAGTCAGAGCCGACGCGGCGGAGGCGGCGCGCACTTGTCGGGCTTCGAGACGCGAGCCCTCAAGGCCGGCTGCGCCGAAGAGGCACCTGCGATGGCGACACTGAACGTGACGGCGTGGACAGCGCGCGCGCTGTCTGCCGACGCCGGCCCCGAGGCGGCGGCGGCATCATCGCTGGTCCTCTCCGGAGCGGTGTCGAGCGCCGCGTCCGGCGCGGGCGCCACTCGTGCGACGGCGGCGGCGGCTGGCGGGCCTCGTTCTGTCGCGTTTGCCGCGGGGGTCGGCGGCGCCCGCGCCGAGCGCGATTCGCTCGCCGTGCTGGCGGCCGCCTTTGACATCGTGCGGGCCCACACCGCCAAGGTCGCGCTGCCGGTGTGGCTGCTGACGAGCCGCGCGCTCGGCGCCCGGCCATCGGGCGGGTCTGGCGCGTCCGCGCATGCGGGCATGATGGGTGGGTTTGGCCCGCCAAGTGCGGTCCGAGGCGCCGACGTGCCGTTTGCCAGTCATTGACCTCGACGCCGCTGCGGCAGTGGCGGGCTCGGCGGCGGCCGCCGCGAAGCTTGGGCTCGGGTACTCGGGCTTGCCTGAGCCCGAGGTCGCTTTCGACGCCGGCCGGCCGCGCGTGCCGCGGCTCAACCAGCGGGCCTGTTCGGATGCACTTCGACGCGCGCGGCGCGGTGTCGAACCTCCGGCTCGTGCCTCAGGCCGAGGAGAGCTCCCCGCCCGCGGACGGCGAGGTCGAGTTGCGCGTGCGAGCGGTCGGTCTCAACTTCCGCGACGTGCTCAACGTCCTCGGCGTGTACCCCGGCGACCCCGGTCCTCCCGGCAGCGACTGCGCTGCAGACGTGGCTCGCTGCGGCGGCGGCGCGCCGCACCTGCGCGTGGGCGACGCTGTGCTCGGCCATGGCCTGGCGGCGCTGGCATCGTTTCGCGGAGCGACTCGCGGCTGATGGCGGCGATCGACGACTCGCTGACGGTCGAGCAGGCGTGCACCCTGCCGACGACGTGGTGCACGGTTCACATGTCGCTCCTCGCGTCGCGGCCTCGCGCGGGCCACCACGCGCTGCTGCAAGCGGGCGCCGGTGGCGTTGGCCTCGCAGCGGGCGAGTACACACATTGGGTCGGCACGCGCGCAAGCGTGACGGTCGGCCGGCCGTACAAGCATTGGTATTTGCATGGCACGGGTCTGCGCGGCGAGACGCTCAGCTCGCGGGACGGCGGCGCGTTCCTCGCCGGCGCGGCGGCGCTCGTCCGCGCGTCGCGGCTGCGCTTCGTAACAGCTAGTCCGCCGACTTCATCGCTGGCTCGTTTGCGCCGCTGGGCGAGGGCGGCTGCTTGTGCGAGATCGGCAAGCGCGCGGTGTGGAGTGCGGAGCGGCTGCGGAGCGCGTCGCTTGCGCGCTACGTGGCGATCGCGCTCGACAGCACGATCGAGCAGACGCCGGTGTGGATGCGGGGCACACTCCAGCGGTTGTCTGCGCACGCGGCGGCGCGCGTGCTGCACGGGCTGCCACTGCAGAGCTTCGGGCTGGAGCGCAGCCTGCTCTCCGCGTTCCGCAGCCTGCAGGCCGGCACAAACACCGGCAAGGTGGTCATCCTTATCCCCGCCACCGCCCCCGCGCCGCCGCGCGACACGCATCTGCTCTCGGGCGGCACCGGCGGGCTCGACCTGCTGACAGGCCAGTGGCTGGCGGCGGGCGGGGCTTCCACGGCTGTGCTTGCGGCGTGCGGCGGCGCGGTGTCGGAGGCGGACGGCCCGCGGCTGCGGAAGGCGCGGCCGCAATGCTCCGTGTGCGTGGCGCGCGCCGATGCGGCGGAGCTGGCCGACATCCGGCGGCTGTGGGTTTAGCGGGGCGCGTTGCGGCGAGGCGGGTCGGCTCGCGGTCGTGTGGCACGTGGCCGGCGTCCTATCCGACGGGTTGCTGCGCGCCCAGACGGCGAGCACGCTCCGCCGGGTGTACGCTCCGAAGGTACACGGCGCCTGGGGCTTGCAGCTTGCGTGCGCCGCGGCGCCGCTCGATGCGTGCGTCCGCTTCTCGTCCATCGCCGTCGCTGATCGGCGGCGGCGGGCAGTCCAACTATGGCGCGGCGAACGGTTGCCTCGATTCGCTCGGCGTGTGTCGGCGGCAGGGCGGCCAGGCGGCGTCGAGCGTGCAGTGCGGGCCGTGGGCGGAGTGGGCATGGCCGCGAGCAGCTCGGTCAACGCGCGGATCAAGGCGGCGTCGGGCATGGGCCTGATCGGGCTGGAGCAGGGCGCGACGGCGTTCCGTGGAGCGCTGCTGCCGGGCGTGCCGGCCGTGATGAGTTTGGCCGTCCTTTCGTGGGGCAAGTTCCTCGGTCTGATGCCGACGGTGCCGCCGCTGCTAGAAGGGCACGCCTCCCGCAAGGCGGCGACCGGCTGGGCATCTGAGAGCCGCGTCGTGACGCTCGAGATGATCATGAAATCGCTCGAGTCGACCACCGGCACGGGCGTGGATGCGGACGCGCCGGTGAAGGAGGCCGGCCTCGACTCGCTTGGAGCGGTGCGGGCTCGGCAAGCCGCCGCGCAGCAGGCGTCGGGGCAGACGCTGCCGTCGACGCTCATCTTTGACTACCCGACGGCGCGGCAGCTCGCGGCGTACTTCGAGAGCTCCTCCATCCACTTCTGCCGGCGGCAGCCAAGCTGCGGAAGTGGCCGCCGCCGGGCGAGACGCGCTGGCAAGGTGTGCGGCGCGCGCGTCTTCTTGTGTAGTGTCTACGTGTATGGCTCCGTGTGTCCGACGAGGCGCCAAACATGTGTATTATTGTGGTGGTGGGTCCGCACGTGTTAGGCAAGGAGGAAAGGGTTGGTTGGGAACTTTTGTCCGCGGTGGCGCACAAGAAAGGGCAAAACAAACGAATCCACGTCATTCTTTCTGCCTTTTTCTTTTGCATGGCGCGACCGGAAGGCGATGCCGGTGGGAACCACACGGCACCGAGCCGCAGCCTGACCCGACGACGTCGCCCCACGGCTGCTGCAAGCCACGTCGGCGCACGGCTGCTGCCAGCCGCGCTCCAGTAGGAGCCGCCGCCGCCGTCGCCGCCGCCGCCGCCGCCGCCGCCGCTCCTCGTCGCGGAGCTCCGTAGAGACATGGGAGGTGGCCAAGGTTGCGAGTACATGAAGGCGGCGGCCGTCCCTTATACGATCGAACCACGCGATGTCCTGATCGTCGACTGCTCGACGGTCTCGCATGACCTGCTGATCGTGGGGCCCTGGGCGCTCACACGCTGCCTTGCTTGGCACGCCGGCGATCGGGCCCCGCTCATCAACGCCTTTGTCGACGAGATGCGTAGTCTGGCCAGGCACGGCGCCGCCGTCTTCCTGCTCTTCGAGGGCGTGGACACCAGCGGAGATGCGGCTCCGCAGGAGCCGACTCGAGAGCGGCTCCGCCGCGATGCGGCGCAGCGCGAGGCGATCCGTGTGGTCGCGAGCTACGGTGGCGACCACGCCGCCTTGCGCCGCGATGCCGAGGCCACGACAGACGGCGCGAACCGAGTCCGGGCCGCGGTGCTCGGCTCGGTGCACGGCAGCGAGTTGAAACAGCTCCTGCTGGCCGAGCTGCTCAAGGAGAAGCAGCAGCCCACCTCCGGCCTCGACAACATCGTGCCTCTCGTCTCGCCCCGCGGAACCGAGAACGACCACATGGCGGTGGCCCTCCACCGGCTGCTCCTCGCGGGCGGCGTGCCGAGCATGCTCGTCTTCAACGACGGCGACATGCTCGTGCACGGCGTTCCCGTGCTCATCGCCGAGAGAGTGCGCCGCTCCAGCAGACCCCGACGCGCCGCCGCCTAGTAATAGTGTGACGGCCTCCCCCCCCCCCCCTCCCCCCCCCCCCGCCGCCTAGTAATAGGGCGACGCGTGGATGGTCAGGGGCCAGCTGCAGCTCTTCGACCCCAACGCCCACGACGTCATCGCCCAGCAGCTGCAGGGTAGCCCTCGCCGCCAGGCGCTGTTCGCGCTGGCCCGCGAGCACGGCTCAGGCATCTGGGGCGACGCTGCCGCAATCGTGGGGAGGACGGACGCATCGCAGGATGCCGGCTATCGCGGCCTCGGCACGTTCGAGCGGCTGCTGGAGGTGCTCGGCGAGGTGGCCACGCGCGACCCCGTCGCCTTTGCCTCCCTCGACGCACCGTACCGCGTCGACGTGATTGCCTCCATGATTGCGTCGGGTGGCGTCAGCGGCGGGGTGAACCGCGGCGGGCAGAGCGATGACGAAGCCACCGCAGATGTCGCGCGGGCGCTCGGCGGGCTGTACCTCCAGCGCGCAGGCGGGGACAAGACGGTCAAAGAGCTGGGCTTCTCGCCCTCGGCCTCGCCCGGCGTCTCTGCTGCCTCGCCCGACGCAAGCGGAGATGGGACGGCGGGCGGGGGCGAGGGCAGCGGGACGGCGACTGGCAGCAACGATGATCGGGCCGACTGCGGCGGCGGGGACGGCAGCCGCGGAGGCGGTGACGAGGGGCGCGGCGCGGCTAGCGCGAGTGGCGGCGGAGGGCGGCCGAGGCTCGTCGAGAGCGGAGGCTTTGGCAGCGGCGGTCGAGCAGGAGGAGTCGGCGAGGGCATCGATGCAGAGGCAGCGTCGACGGGCGCCGAGGCTGCGATGGCCGTGGCGCAGCACGGGGCGGTCGTGGCGCGCCGCAAAGCGGAGGACGACGGCCGGTTCCGATCTCTCGAGGGCGTCCGGGACTTCGTGTATTCCGAAGCCTTTGGCTGCGACGACGAGGATACGCGCAAGGCGTTCATGGAGTGGGCGGAGTTCGAGTTTGGGTTTGAGGAGCTGGCCAAGCGCTTTGCGCAGCACGGCGCAATCATCCCGTGGATCGGGCCAGACGCGAGGCAAGCCGGGGTCGTCATGCTGTTGCACTATGCCGGCGAGAGCCACACCCACCACTGGCCGTTCCTCGATGGCGTCGCCACGTCCGTCTCCTTCGATGTGCTCGTCCGCCGCGTGCCAGAGCTTCTTGGCCACGCCTCGGCCGATGCCATGCTCGCCTCGGTCATCGTCGACTCGACGCTCGTGGTACTTCCGCGGCCGCTGCGCACGGACGGCGGCGGGTGCGTCGACGACTATGCGGAGCAGTGCCTGCTCGAGACCATGAGCCATGACGAACTCGAGACGCACCGCGACAAGCGCACGCGGTTCCTCAGCTGCCTGCTCAAGTGGCTGGCGCAGGACGCCGCACCGCGGTCGCCGTCGAGCCTATCGTCGCCGAGCCCGCCGTCGCCGAGCCAGCCGCCGCCGAGCCAGCCGCCGCCGCCCCGCCCTCCCTCGAGCCAGCCTCCGCCGAGCCGCACGCCGCCGAGCCGGGACAGCCGAGGCGGATCGCCGCCGCGCCGGCGGCGGAAGCTACATCCGACGTCACCCCATCAGTCGCCGCGGCAGCCCTTGGGAGAGCTCCAGCAGCGCCTTCCGGGGAGCGGCAGCGGCGGCAGCAGCACCGCGGATGCCGCTTCGGCTGGCGGCAGCAGCGGCGGCGCCGCGGGCGGCGGCTGTCAGGCGCAGAGTGGGTGGGCGGTGGAGCTGCCGCGCCTCCAGGGCGGCAGCGTCGTGCGCGATTTGATCGTCGACACGCCGGCGTTGCTGCGGCTCCTGCCCTCGCCGACGGCAGGCGTGGGCCTCGACGAAGCGGTGGGTGCGAGGGCCGTCCTCGTCGTGTGCGGCCGGGCGGCGGCCAAGTGCGTCACGCCGCAGCTGGTGGCTGATGCGGCTGAGGCGGGCGCGTGCTGCATCTCCACGCACCACCCCGAGTACGTGAGCGCAAAATACTTCCCGTGGCACGCTCGCGAGGAGAGCTGCCGCACGCTGCTCGTCATGGGCCTGCCCAGCCTCCGCGCCGCCTCTGCGTCGCTCGCCGACGCCAAGGCGAAGGTGGCGGGTGCGATCGCCGACGGGTGGCGGGTGAGGCTGCACGACTACCTGGCTCACAGGCGGAGCGTGCTGGGCACTGCGACAGCGCCGTCGCCGTCCTCGCGGGGCACGGCGTGGGCCTCGAGCATCGTCGAAGACCGGATCGAGGTGTCTCTGCTCGACGGCATCGGGCGCAGGCACATGCTGACGTCGGTGCTGCCCGCCCTCGCCCCCTCGCACGCCCAGCTGGTGCCGTGGTTGGAGAGCGCGATGGACTCTGACGGCTCGACCGGAGTGGCGGTGCTCGAAGAGTTGATGCTGGCCGTCACCGCGCACGACCTCGAGGCGGCCGTGCCGGGGGGCGGGTGGAGGGACATCGTCGCCGCTGACGACTTTGACGCACCCAGATGGTTCCCTGAGGAGCTCGAGCGGCTGGTCGTCCCCGTCGACACCATCGCGGGCTGGCACGCCGAGCACCGAGAACCGCAGGTGAGGGCGATGGTCGAGCTGGCCGGCGCCGATGCGCCAGGCCTCCGTGCGCTGCTGCAGGCGGGCAAGCGGCTGCGCCAGCCGGCTCGGCAGCTGTGCGAGTGGCGGGACGACCTGGCGGCGGCACTCGGCGGCGGCCCCGAGGCGAAGGCGGCGACGCGCGAGGCGGTGCGGCAGGCGCCGAGCTTCCTCACGGCGCCCCGGCCCGTCGCCGTGATCAAGGCCGTCGTCCAGCTCCTCGGCGGCGGCGAGGAGGCGATGGCGGCGACGCGCGAGGCGGTGCGGCAGGCGCCGACCTTCCTCACGGCGCCCCGGCCCGTCGCCGTGATCGAGGCCGTCGTCGAGCTCCTCGGCGGCGGCGAGGAGGCGAAGGCGGCGACGCGCGAGGCGGTGCGGCAGGCGCCGACCTTCCTCACGGCGCCCCGGCCCGTCGCCGTGATCGAGGCCGTCGTCCAGTGCCTCGGCGGCGACGAGGAGGCGATGGCGGCGACGCGCG